TTTGGCGTTATTTCCTCCTGTGTTGTTGAAAGAGCCAAGCTACCTAAAGCTACCTGCCACCAAATCCATCTCATTTCCTCCCGGGCCATCCGCCTTGGCAGGCTTGGCGGCATCTTTGGCCTTCACCTGGCATCCAACCCCTCAAGCCAAGAGTTGGCTGCTGGCAGCTAGCGAATTCAATTTCTCCGGAGCATCCAATCTCCCGAGTTTCCCGGGTAAGCCGCAAACTGCCAGCGGTTGAGAGAGGCGCTGCCGTCTCAACCAGCTGAGTCCATGCTGGCTCGCAGACAGTTAGCCCGCCTGCTCGCTGTATTTCTTCTGCTGCTTTTTGGGTTCAGCAGCTGGTTGGTCACCTGAAGTCACTGAATCGTTGACAATGTCATCATGCTTCTCCTGGTGATGCACCAAAACACCCTCCTCCACTTTAAGCCACAATCAAAGCCCATGTGGTGTTTTGGGTTCACTATTTTTGCAACAGGCTTTGGTTGCGACTCATTTTCCAAACATGCTCAGTTCTTCTCCCGCGCATAACCGCACGCTGAGAGCCGTGCTGAAGCCGCTGGGACGCGGCTCGGGCACACCCCAGCGTCTGCAGAGCAGCTTGTCCGGCACCCACGGAGTCACCGTCCTCACCAAGTGGGCAAAGGGATGCACAGCTGATGGCGGCACAGGCAAGTCACAGACTTATCTTAAAACAACAAAAAAAAAAACGCTCCAGAAGATGGTGGCGCGCATCGATACTTAAGAGCCACCATCTTCAATTGGCAGCTTTTCCGAGCGCAGTCAGTTGCCGGCACCTCATATCCGAACAGCGGCCCGTCCTTCGAACCACTGGTGGTGCCGAATCAGCTTCCTGGCGGCAGGCATAGCGAGACATCGAGACACGAGAGCGATGGAGCCTTCTCCAGGACTTTGGCGATGTCCGCAGTGGGATTCTCCTGCCTTGCCAAGTGCCAGGCTTGCCCAACCTTTTCAGCCCCGGCCGGCATTCAGAAGAGAAGTTATCCGCCGACCCACAGATGCGGCGGTGATCTGTTGCTGCACAGCAATCATCGCTCCCCCTGTAAAAAAAGGCACCCTATTAGTAAATGAGTGCTTTCCCCAGACCGCTAAGGCCCTAGTGCTAACTAGAATTACGCAATACTAAACCAAGTCTAAGCCAGCGGATTCTCGCATTCGGTTCCTTAAAATCGTCACTTGGCAAAATACGACTTGATGATGCTTGGGCAAAGAGGGGACGTGGACAATGGCTCGGAACCCGCAGGCTGCCCTGAACCCAATGAATCGCAAAGCAACCTTCATTATTCGGGGGACGATTTCTCAACATTCGGGGGGGCAGAGCTCAAGCGCAATTTGGCTTTGCCTTGTTGGTATGGGAAATTCAACTGGGACGTTGGACGCTTTCCGAATTTGAGGCTTCAGGAGCGACTCCTGGCATTTGTCGCTCCCGTGCGTGCTGTGCTGGTGGCAGCACGCTGGGTGCAACTCGACTGATCTTTGCGCTGGACTCGCTCAATCGTCGGATTACAAACAGGTTGCAGGGGAAGCAGGACTACATCTTGACCCAGTGACCGCAATTTGTGCCTCATGAACAGAGTGCACCCCAAAGCATGCAAGGCATCTCCACTGAATTGATGGACATTTCTTCATCAACCAAGTGCAGATTAAAATCCGGGGCTCCCAATTTGCGCCATGGTCAAAATATGCTGCCGCAAAGGACATTATCAGCAGCCCCGGGTTCTGCGTCCCCCCATCAGCGGCCTGAAGCAGCGATACACTCGCCCGAACTCCGCCAGCTCCGCGTCGCGCACAGCCTACGTCAGCGCCGCCAGGAAACAGGCAGTGTTCATAGGCAAACGGGACTATGGCACCAGATTTCCTACTCAACAGTTGGAATGTTCAGGTGTCCGATGAAACTGAAAGATAACCCGCAGGCCTGCGTGAGCCCCTCTGCTTCCTTCAGAGCCTCCGAGAATGCAACCTTGCCCTCCATGGCCAAGCAGAACCTCATGCCAAAGATGGGCGCGACAGGAGAGGCCAACCTCTTGTTAAGCTCAATCCACCTTACCACAAGCTCCTTGAAACAGAACCAGCTGTGCCCCCACTTGAGCGCTCAGGCACTCTCTTACACATCATCCATGGTTCCTTCTGCTAGCCCCAAGAACGCTGCCAGCCTCGTCACCCTAAAGCATAAGCCACTTTTGGAACCGAAACAACTGAACCCTTCCGACTGCGACTGGCTCTGAACCCCCTGAAGGGCTTGCTCAGCTGCTCCAAGCAAATCTGAAGATCTACATCACATGGCCAGCAAGCTGAGAGCCCCGGCTTCACGTAGCGCTTCTGTTTGCCTCGGCGCTAGCAGCTTAGCAGCTTCTCGGCCCCGGCCGTCGGGCAAAGAAACCCAACACGTGCAACCATCTTGGAGGAAAGGCTCGTGTGCAGGGTGGCTCATGAATGGTTGAAGCTGAGAAAGCTTCTTCCAACATCGGGTCACCAGGCTGAGACAAAAGTGTGCCTGACAAACGGCGCTATCCTGAAGCCTGGCACTCTCATGGAAAAACGCGACCTCCTGCTTTCGGCAGGATTTCCACATCCTGAATTATGCTCAGTCACTGCAGGCACAAGTGAAGCTCATTCGCGATTCTCGGCTCGACTTGGCCGCGCCCCATGAGGGCAGCCACTCGACTCCTAACTTCGGCCGAGCTGCTGGGGTCGCTCTTGAAGGGCTCATGCCGCGCGTTGGCTCCGTCCATGTCCTGGCACCAAACTTGGCTTGGAGAAACACGGTGGCAGTGGCGGTGCTTTTGGCCTCCGTTTCGCACCGTCCACTTAAACGTTCTGAATTCCTGTACCATTTGAAACCTGCCCAACCCCCAACACCAAACCCTAAACACCTAACCAAACACAGAAGCCCGCCCTCAACCAACCCTGAGCCCATACAGAAAAACAAATATGGTCGTGCCTCGCGCCAACATACACAGGCACAGCTTGATCTACTCTTTCTTTTCGCCATGTTTGCATGTCCATAGACCAACACTGGCTTCCCGTTGGCTAAGCACAGCTTTAAGCGAGCTCGCTTCAGCTGAAGCGAGCTCTTTGTAGACCTACGCAATGTGTCCGATGAGGAATCAGCTTCCGGTGACCTGAGCTTCGCCCGGAAATGGCTTCGTGGAGCCCAGTATTCCTTTTCTCATGCCGAGATTCGGATGGACTTCGGATTGATTGGGGATTGGTTTGGTAGGTGTCGGGTTTGGGAGTTGCGTGGAGTACGGGTTGGGCTGGGGTTGGCTTAGCTATGGTGGATGTGGGAGAGGGTCGTCACGGATTTAGGGTTTACATTTGATTTAGGTGTCGGCAATGATTAGTAGCTTAAGGATGAGCACCGGATTGACTTAGAGCAGGCTTAAGGTGGGTGTGCGATCTGTCGGTAGGCGCGGGGTGAAAGCTTGTCAAACTGCTTGCGATCGATCCAGGTGGGGTTGAGGCTCGTTTTCGGGGCGGGACCAACCGATCCAGAAGCCTGGGCAAATACAACACATCGGGCCCCTTCTTTTGCCCCTCGACCAAAATTAATACAGCGATGAGGCTAGTGGCTCGTGCCGTGTGCGGCGACCACAATCCCTCGCCTGCGTCTGGCCTACCACGAACTTGCGCCCGAGAGCATTCAGCAGATTCTGCTTTTGGTGCTCCGGCACAGCTTGCCAACTCAGAGGTCACGCTGATTATGTGTCTCTCCTCTCACCTCTCACGCCCGGAAGTGCTTTGCGTGAACTGAGGCAGTCGCAGAGGCTCGGCGGACCGCTGGATGGAGCGTTGCCGGTCCTCCTTGCAGCAGAATACCGGGAACAAACTTGTGAGCCTGGCATTGCATCACCCAAATGCCTGTGGCTCAAAAGAAAGGTAGCAAAAATGGCACCTTGCTTCATGGAACCAAGGACCAAAACCTGCGTAACCCGGGCTCTTCAATATTGAGCCACACCCAACTGCCTTCCCCGCATCCCTTTGGCCCTGCCTCGGTGGGCGGCCCAGCAGGAGTTGGGGCCAGCTCCGCCTCACGCGAAGAAGCGCCGGCGGAAAGGCCGCAGCTTTCTGGTTCGAAAGGCGCAACAGTGACATGTTGGAAGATTGCAAAGCACATGAACATGGACGTGTGTTTGTCTTTTATCTCTGTTCATGTCATCATGTGTCCGTGTGTCGGGGTATGTGTGTGTACATTGATACCACACCCTGTCCCTACCCCCGATTATACTTATGGCCATCCCCACCCCCCTCTTCCTACCGTGTCTTATATGCGGGTTGTTGTGTGCTAGTGCGCTTGTGCATCTGTGTCTGATGTGGTTTGTTTGTGCAAGACCGTGATTGTGTGCTTGTGTGGTTGCGCATTTGTGTGTCTGTGTCTGTATGTTTGTGTTGTTTGTGTGTGTGTGTGTGTGATTGTATGATTGTTTGTGTCACTGTGCGGTTGCGTGATTGTGTGATTGTGGGATTGTGTGCGTGAGTGCGTGTCTATGTGTGTGTGTGTCTATGAGTGTATTTGTGTGATTCTCTGTGTTTGCGTTTGTGCATCTGTGTTTATGTATGTGTTTGTGTGTGTGTGTATGTTTGTTTGATTGTGTGTCACTTGTCTTCATATTTGTGGAGCTTCTGTGTGGGGGCCAATGTCTGTGTGTATGTGTGTGTGTGTGTGCGTGTGTTTGCGTATGCTTGTGTGATGCAGTGTTGGGGCTTCTACGTTTGTGTTTGGGTGCTTGTGTGTGTGTGTGTGTTTGAACTATTCACGGGCCATGTCACAAGGCTGCCAAATCCCTAAACCGAACGTGTAGTAGCTATTGCGCACAAAGGTCTCTTGGTCATTTGCGGCAGCCATCCAGCCAGATCACTTCTCAACTCACGCCTGAAGCATCCCCTCCCTGGGACCAACCAGCCTCCGGCTTGGCCCGGGTCTTCTCGCCCAGCATCTCGGCGCGGAAGCGCGGGTCTAGGAGCCGCTGCTGGCCGTGCCTCGGCGCATCGAACCCGAGGCCACCGGTGCGCGAGGCCGGTGGCGACATGGAAGAAAAGGTGCTGCGGTTCAACTCTGGGCGCCCGGCTTATCTTGGAACTCGAGCAGCCTCTTGTGCTCCTCGCTGCCTTCTTGCGCCTCCTCCGGGGGCTAGCTTGAATCGATTACAAGGGCCAAATGTTCTGTCACCACTATGTTCAGACACGTCCACTCGCCTGCACGCGCTCAAGCAAGTCTGGGCACACTGGTTCTCATCTTTTGTAGTCAGCTGCGCACTGCCATGCATGGATGTGTTAAAAAGGCTTTCAACTGAGATCGTTGTCTCCACATTGCCATTGGATCAAATGGCTACGCCTACAGGCCCGTGTCTAACCTGGCCATTGGCTGGCACAGCGTAAGCCATCTAAACTGGACACACTCCAGGAACACCAGTCTGATGATCACACCGCTCTGGTGATATGTGGCAAAGTGGGTGTGAATTCCAATTGGGGACCCCTGGGCATGTTTTTCCCGGCATTCATGTCCAGCAACCACGTTCAAAGGGTGTTCCAAGCCCCAACATATCACGGCAAGGTCCTGCAACGGGGAGACGTCGATGAGGTGGACGCCCTTGTAGTTGCGAGGCCTCGCCATCCCGTTCCGACGGCCGATTGACCGCTTGGCCGCTTGGCCCCCCGAGACCCGAGTTCCGCACACCGGCGGCGGGTGCCACCGCGAGAAGTCCCGAGTCTCCTGCGGACTCTGGCAACGACCACCCGCGAAGACCGCGAAAAGGATGGCACCCAAGACGTAAGCAACATGACAACCCATGAATAGGAATGGCCATCATTGCTTACCTTCTTGCTGCACAGCTAGACATAGCAACCTCAGCTACAAGGAATCCTGGAATAGGAGGGTAGCGTGGAATGCCAATTGCGCCAACCGGGCAAACCTGAGAAGAACTCAATCAACATCTTCAACTCGCCCACGTGTCCGGCCTTGTCAGGGTGCTCAGCCTCCACAAAGCCGGTGACCTCCCCTACTGCTGCACGTTCGCCAGACGCCCTGGGCTCTTCGGCATCCATGTGAACTGGAACCGAAGACCATTTGATTGATGACTCGAAGCAAGACAATGTCGATAGTATTGGGAAGGAAGCCAAAAGGGCCCAAGCTTGGCACTCGACTCGGAATTTCTTGTGAGTGACAACCACACAGCCCTTTGGACATAAAGACACTACCACACTACCATGCGCTAACCTTGGCTGTGTGGAGTGTAGCACAGCGTAATGTCCAGGGGCCAAGCTGGGGGCGGATGTCGTCAATCATCGCGACATGAGACTCTTCCTCCACATCCTTCCCGCAGCGCAGTGACTGTGCAACTTGAATTGTGAGCGTGCCTCATCCTTCAGGGAGGCATGGTACTGCACTCGCTTGTCTCTTTCATGCTCGTAGACCTCGGCTCCAGCTGGATTTTCGACTTGACAATCTCACAGGTGTGAACAGCGTGCCTCTTCCCAGGCCTCGTTGCCAGATGCTCTGCAGTTGCCACGGCTGAGTGAAGCCTTGGCTCCCTGCGTCATATTCATCCTGGTCCAGAACGCCTGTACCAAACTGCGAGTAGCCAATGGCCTGGCATCGCATCAAGGTCACTCCCGTGCGCATGGGCGGGGCGGAACCCCGCCTTCATGGATGCAGTCATGTTTTTTCCTCTGGCAGCTGACATGTAAAGCCGGCGATTGCTTGGTATACCTTAGTGCAGGAGGTATGTGGCATCATCACAAACGCCCTATTCAAAGATGTCCATTGCACTGGCATCCTTGATAGCTGAACTCTACAAGAGGCAACGGGCGTAATTTTCCCAGAAACGCCAGTGCTTTTGGAGCTAGTTTGAAAAACACAACCTTAGCACCTTGCTAAATGTGTATATAGATATATACACCCGTAATCATGTGTATGTGCATACATATACACACACGTATATGCGCAAATATACATCTATATAGATATATGTATATCTATCCCCCGATGGATCCGCTGATTGAAGGCAATTTTGGAGACGAAATGCAATTGTTTTGTTTGGAGATTGCCCATGCGACTTGACCAGCATCAACTTGTCCTAAGCAAGAAATTCTCTGCAAAAGGTGAATTGAAATACACAATCCAAGTAACAATTTTCGTTGAAAAGGAAATCCGAATTGAATTATCTTTCAAAGTTAGAAGTTCTACTAGAACTAATTCCCTGGGAAAGTCATCCTGGGAAATCCTATTTACAGCGAGGAAATCCTATTTACAGCATCTGTAAATCTAGGTGTCTATTCGGATGTATTCACCTTTAGTGTCTATGTGAAGTCTAATGAGAAGGTCGAAACATCATCCTAGAAAGGACATCTTTGTTGAACATCTAGTTTGAAATAAGAACTTTAAATACAAACATTCTGCAATAGAATATTTACATTTTCTTAAACATTGACATTCTAATAGATTTCGTTCCTTATTGAATACCATTTAAATTCTGATCAAAAAAAGACAAGCCCATGTTAACATCTTCTTTCAAAAAATACACCAGCATAGACCCCAGATAGCGGAAGACAGGCGGATGATTGCACACCACCTCTAGCCCCCGAAGAGCGCAGCCAACAGCACCCCAACAGCACCTGCACCAGCACCCCGTCAATCTCGCAACAATGCGCCCGCGCCGTCACCCCGAACAGCACCCTCAATCACACACCCCTGCACCCTGCCGTCAATCTCGGAAAAAAGGGCCCGCACCGGCACGAGCACTTCCAAAACAGCACCTGCACCAGCACCCCAAACTGCATGCCCTATAGCACCCTACGGTAATCTTTCAAAACTGCGCCCGCGCCATCATCAGCATCTGAAACAGCACTCCAAAGCACTAGCACCCCAAACTGCACGCCCCCTAACCCAGCCGTCAATCTCGCAAATCACTTTCGCCTCTTTAAGTTAGAACCGCTATAGCTTTCAGCCATCTGGGGAATAATCTTAATTACGGATCTTCTTTGAAAAGGAAGCCCTACTCAAAGTCTCTTTAAACTAGAATCTCAACTATAACCATTTCCATATTTAGCTCCATACAAGCTCGAGTTAGACAATTGAAAAACACAGCCCTAGAAAAAGAACCCCGTATAAAACTAATTTGGCACAAATCTCCTTTGCAAAGGAAATCATCTCAAATCCTTTTCGAATTATGTTTAACTTCCGAGCAGAACCAAGAAAAAGTGAGTTTAGTTGGAAAAACACATGTGTCCAATGGAATGCAAAAAAATACACCAGCATAGACCCCAAATAGCAGACCATGGCTACGAACCATGACGCAGCATCATACTGGGATGATGTTGACAGCATCATGCTTATACACCAGCCACGGACGATCTCGTAAAACAATCAAAACAGAACCTCCACCAGCACCCCAAACCGCATCCCCCCTAGCACCCAGCCGTCAATCTCGCAAAACAGCACCTCCACCGGAGTGCTGCGTTCCCCCTAGCGCACGGCCGTCAATCTTGCAAAACAGCACCTCCACCAGCACCCCAAACTGCATGCCCCCTAGCACCCAACCGTCACTCTCGCAAAGCCGCTCTTCCACCGGCGCCCCAAACTGCATGCCTCCTAGGACCCGGCCGTAGCTTGCGAAAAACAGCACCCCAAACTGCATGCCCCCTAGCACCCTGCCGTCAATCTCGCAAATCACTTTCCCTCTAATAAGAAGTTAGAACCCCTATAGCTTTCAGCTATCTGGGGGAAGAGACCAATGCTTTGAAAACAAATCTACGAGAAACAAGTTTAATTCCAAAAAACATGAGTTAATAGACCCCAAACCCTGAACCCCACGCCCTCAACCTGCCCTTTCTAGAGGTTTGGTCAGAAGATGCAAAAATAACAGCTATATTGCAGCCAGTAAAAATATGCAGCCAAAAGCAAGCAAGCAAGTAGAGAAGTAAAATTATGGAGCCAATGACCCAACAATAAAATAAGAAACCAACAGGGAAAAAAGTAATAATATGGAAAAAAGGGGGAGAACAAAAAACGGAAACAAAAGTAAAGCTCTCCAGCCGATGACCCAAAGGCAAAAAAAATATATATGCCAAAAGCAAAAAGTCAAAAGGCAAAAGTAGTTCAAGTAACATGGTCCTGAAGTAACATGGTCTGACCATGGACTGACACATGTTTCATTTCACTGTTTTCCGTTTTGTTTTTACATTTGGGTCATTGGCTCCGACTGAAATCTACTTCTGGCCTGGATGCAAGATTCCCTGGAAAAGTCTTGAGCCTCAAGCTTCTACATTGTTATTGGAAAGAGCGCCTCTGTTTGCTCCTTTCCCCCAAGGCCCCAAACATGGCAGACAACACTGCAAATACAAGCGAATTCTGAAGTAGGTCCTGGGGGGGGGGAACTATATATATATATAATGTGGAGCTCTGAATAGCTACTTGTAGCAAAACCGTTCGATGGCAAGGGATCAGATCAGCCCAACAAACATCATCCCCCAAAGTCCTAGAGCCTTTCGCCATCATCTGGGCCACTCACCGAAGCACTGGTAATGCAAACAGATTGAACAAGGGGCCTACATGCGGGCAGTGCACTTTTTGGAAGAGAAGTGGTTTGTCAAAGCCCAAATAAACGGGGGAGGCATCCACACAAACACACACATGCAGCTGCGCCGATGAGAATCGATGGATCTGTCTGCGTGCCGCCCGGTCGCAGCTCCCAGAGCCAGAGCCAGAGCCAGCGCCCATGAAATAGCCCAACCCATGCAGGTCAGTCTTGCCTGGCGAGCCAAACTCGCAACCCCCCACTGACGACACGAAAAGAATACTCCCCCAAAAAAATGATCATGAAAAGAGCATGTGACATGAGGGGCAGTATTCAAGGACTCCCCAGAAATGGGAGAGGCATTTTGCTTGCCCTTCCAAACAACCCGATGGAAGGAACTATTTGAAGTTGGAGGGGCTGAGAAAGGAAAGAAACAAGTGACATATGCGGTGTGGAGGTTACCTTGACCAAAGGTAGCGTAATGCCAACCATAAACAGGTTGAACATGCTTGAACTGACGCGGACTCTTCCATGCTTTGCCATTGATGGATTACCCCGGTGAGAGGCTAACATTGTAACAATGATGCACCAAACATGTATTCGACTTTTGTTGCTTTGGGGCTGCTGTTATCGGCGGCACGCAGGAAGGGCGACAGAAAGTATCGGCTGTGCTGCTCGATCCACTGAGCAAACACATTGTATTTGGATGAAACATGGAAGCTTGGGCATAGCGTGAGGCACTGTCGACATGGGATTTAGCTGAAAAAAGGCCTGGCGTCAACTGCCTGTCTAACTAATTTTGCTTTCCCTTGAAACTTCTCAGCTGATATCCATGCAAGACTGTGCGAAACTGGGTGCGTTCTAAGATATTGTTGGTAACAGCGCCAAGGCAGGGCAAAAAGGGTCGCACAAAGACTCAGGGAGCACGCCCAACCAGACAGCTGACTCGTCTGAGCTGCTGGCTTTGAGTTGTGGCATTCTTGAAACTTATGAAGAAAACGACGTGATTCTGACAACAGCGAAGAAACAAACACTCCAACACGCAAACACCCGAACTCCTAAGCAGCCGAACTCCATAACCGAGCGAGCAAGCAAGCAAGAAGGCAAGGCAAAGCACAGCAAAGCAAAACAAACACAACAAAACCAAAACAGGCAGGCAAGAAAGCAAAGCAAAGCAAGGCAAAGCGAGGCAAAGCAAGGCAAAGCAGGCAAAAGCAAAGCAAAAGCAAAAGCAAAGCAAATGCAAAAGCAAAGCAAAAGCAAAAGCAAAGCAAAACCAAAGCAAAAGCAAGCAAAAGCAGAGCAAGCAAGCAAGCAAGCAAGCACGCACACTGGCAAACAAACAAAACACAAAGAGCAAGCACAACAAGACCGTGTTGTCACAAAACAAGCAACACAGCCCAGCAACTGCCAAGCAAAAGCAACCAAACATGACACGCACACACACACACACACACATACACACACACACATACACACACCTACACACACACACACACGCACACAACACGACTCGAACCAACAAGAAACACATTCTGAAGGCTTGAATCATTCCAAGACTTCGGAGAAAAGTTGGGCAAAAGCTGCGTCACAAAAATTCCACTACCAGCGAATAAAGCGGCACTCCACTGGAAGCTCCGCCGGGTCCGCTGCGCCAGAGCCGCTCCAGCTCCGCCTCGAGCTCCCGGTGGATTGCCGGGGCCTCTCCGCAACGGCTCGCACCGACAACAGAAAAATTCATCCATGTATGTACATATGTATCTGTATATATATATATATAGAGAGAGAGAGAGAGAGCGTGTGTGCGTGTGCGTGTGCGTGTGCGTGTGCGTGTGCGTGTGCGTGCGCGTGCGCGTGCGCGTGCGCGTGCGTGCGCGTGCGCGTGCGCGTGCGCGTGCGCTGTGCGCGTGCGTGTGGTGTGTGTGTGTGTGTGTGTGCTGTGTGTGTGTGTGTGTGTGTGTGTGTGTGTGTGTGTGTGTGTGTGTGTGTGTGTGTGTGTGTGTGTGTGTGTGTGTGTGTGTGTGTGTGTGTGTGTGTGTGTGTGTGTGTGTGTGTGTGTGTGTGTGTGTGTGTGTGTGTGTGTGTGTGTGTGTGTGTGTGTGTGTGTGTGTGTGTGTGTGTGTGTGTGTGTGTGTGTACGTGTACGTGTGTACAAATATATATATATATATATATACATAGAATTTGTTATGAGTTATATGTGTTGTTTCTCCAAAAGGACAAGGGAAAATGGTGGTTCTCCTGACCTGTTTGGTTTTGCGGCCTTGTCTCAAAATGGGGAAGCCCCGTGGACGGTTTTCACTTTGCTTTCTCTTTAAAAAGCAAGCTGACCAATCCCCAAAGTTCTTGCCGTGACCGGGGCCCTATTCCCTAAAGTTATTGCCATGCCTTGGAGTGCTGGTGTTTCTTTCAACACACATGAGGAAGGGGCCCGGCGTCTCCTACATCACGATGAGGCATGACCAAACCCAGCCTGAGAGACATGGAGTCCCGCAGCTAGCCTGGGTCCAAATTTCCGGGATCCCAGCCAACCAGGAACCCAGCAGTCAACATTGGGACAGCAACAACGGTACGGCATCAAAATGTTCTACTGCTGTCCGCTTGACCGCACAGACCCCAACATGACAGCAAAAGAGACAACGGCATGCGCCCCAAATGCCCGTGGCAGGTGCCTCTTGGGCACAACCGTCAGCGGACCTGAGCCGGCGTCACTCCGGCTGGCCCACCCGATACGCGTCATCCCACCTCCGTCCTCAATCTCCACACTTTCCGTCGCCGGAGCTTTGTAGCCTGGGACGCTGAAACCAAAAAAGGCGCAAAACGCGTCGGACGCCTTCTCCAAATCTCCGGTAAAGCGTCGGACGCTGGCGACTCGCCGGAGCAACCCCCGCGTGCCTGGAGGTGGCGGAGCACAGCCGTAGGACCTGTCACTGCAATCATCCCTTTCCCCAATCTGACAGAAGGCTTTCGCCAGCTTTGGGGCGTCATGTGGCCGTGGGTCAAAAATAGGGTAATTTCATAATGGAATTTGGGTAGAACATGGACTAAAACCTGCGGTCCAATTCCTGGTGGTTTAATTTTCACCCACACCCATGTTGGAATGTGTCTCGTACCTGCGCATCTCAGCGCCCAGCTTCTTTCCCGTGGGCGCAGAGGGCGCCGCAGCGGCGGGCTGCGGAGTCTCCCCGGGCAGGATACTCGCACGCCTGGCGCAATCGAGACCGCGCGTGCGGTCAACAAAAGATGGGAGTCATGGGACATCTGAAAAAATGTCCTCACAAATCACCAAGAAAAACACCAGACAGGGTGAGCTCGGAACCGAGCTACGCGTCACGCGGCCCATCAAGAATCCCAAAACAACCCGGATGCAGCCAGGTCACAGCAGTCGCGTGCCCAGCCGCTCCTCTCCGGTGAAAATCCTGGGCAAAAAGGGAACCAGCCGGGAAGGTGCTCTGTTGGCCTTCTTTTTTTTCTCGGGTATTGGCTTCCTTCGTTTGTGTGTCCTGTGGCCATGCTCGAAAAATCCCCCGTGACATCCTTCACACGATCTCCCGCGCACGGAGCTGAGCTGCGAGCTCCTCCTCCAAGTCCCGCGAGACGCCGGCCGGCAGCGCTGCTGAACCTGACGATGCCGGCAGCTCGAGAGCTGTGAGCCAAGATATGCATGAGCTGTGGCAGTGATGAGAGTTTCCGCAATATGCACAGCTGGTCCAAGCTGCACAGCTCACCCAATCTTGCTAGCCTCCATGCTGACACTCAGAGTGCAACGGCCCAGCACCTGACATGTTCTAAGCAGCTGACCGGCCGCGCGAGGGTTCTGGTCGCGGGCAGCAAACTCATCACCTCACGCGCTGCAAGCTGAGCTTTGTCTGCGGCAGATGCCAACCATGAACGCTAAGATCACCAGAGGCAGTCGCTCCAAAACAAGAACTGGGACTCGTGTTTCTTTCTTATCACAATTGAGGCTAAAAGCAAAACCAACAAATGAACCTTGCGCGTAAGTCAAGTCAAGGCCATGTTGCGGGCGGCAATGGTTTTGCGAGAAGATCGATGGTCACGCAAGTCCTGCCAAAATGCCCGCTCTGATTTGCCAAGGAGCATATCATGGTGCCAAGGCATGTAGGTAAGTTGCCCGAAATAAGTGCGCGCGTGTGTGTGTGTGTGTGTGTGTAGACGAAAGGATCCCTGAGTTTCGGAAAGAGCACATTATCTTAGCACCCTCGTCCTCCTCATCCATGTAGTCCTCCACTCGCGGAGCAGCATCAGCATGACGCTTGGACCGGCCTCGCAGCTTGCCGATCCAAAAGCTCGCGTACAGCTGCCCACATGGGACGTCTCCGCTGCTGTGTGCACATCTGTTGTTGCATTTCCACAATGGCCGATGTGAGAAAAAAGAGGGAGGCGACTGGATGTCTTGCTCAAGATGGAATCCAACCTGTTGAAGCAGCTCAAACAAACAAGCCTCTCTCGCCGCACACGGGTCTCCGAAGCCCAGTCCCACCTTCCGCTGTCTGGGGCCCCAGCTGGAGCTGAAGGAAGCTGGCTCCCAGCCTTCCTTGCTCCCTACAGTGCCTCAGGCCGGTCACGATATGCCTTCCCCCACTGGACAATCGAGTGTTGTCCCCTGCGTTAGTGGGGATATTGGGTAGCCCCCCACGTCCTTGTTCCTTGCACAAAGAGATGAACAGGTCGGGTCCTGCAGACTGTGTTTGGACCCTTCCATTCATGTCCTGGTCAGCCAAACCACATTTTGATGAGGCCTAGCAAGTCATAGGAAAGGAAGTCCGCTGCTTTTTGTGCTAAAGTCCAAATCTTGACTCTCACGCACCGCGCAAAATTTCCTTCATCGCACAAGCCCAAAGACCCGCCCCTCCCTGGGATCTAGCACGGCTTGTTGGACTGTGCGGCTTCGGCAGCTTGGAATTCTCAAGCCCAGAGTTCTATTTTTTGACCACCTGCAAATAGACTTAAACCCAGGGGTTCCCTTTTTGGGGTACATGACCCACCCCTGGGTTGAAGTCATTGTGGGGGTAGTCAAAAAGTGGACCCCTGCTCAAGCCAGTATTTAGACGTTTAGACAGGAATGCCTGAGTAGAAAAGCATCCAAGCCGTATCGGCAGGCTCGATGTGCGCCGACGCTCAAAAGAACTGACTGGCTGCAAATCACTGTCTTCGAATGACTGGCCGATGCCTAGCAAACATTCTGAATAAGACCAAATTGCTCCGAAACCCTCAACGCTATCCTGCGTCCTGGTATCAGTTCATGCTCGCTCCAAAAGCATTGTTGCCTTTTGAGACGCATATTTGCTTCCAACAACATAGTACCATATCCCCCCATTGAAAGTGATGCCTTTTGCCGAGGAACTATTATCTCCACTGGGTTGCTTCAGGGTGGTTTGGATGGGTTTAGTCTTGGCCTAGTGGTTGGTTTAGTGTTGGTTTGTGGTTTAGGGTTTAGGGTCGGTTTCGGGTTGGTTTGGGGTGCTTGGATTTGTTTACGGTTGGGCTTAGGGCGTTTAGATTGGTTTAGCGCTGGTTTAGGGTTGTGTCAGGGTTGGCTTGGGGCGGCTGTATTTTTGGTCAGGGGTTGCTCCTGGAGTTTAGGTTGGTGTGGGTTGGTTTAGGGTCGGTTTGGGGTTGGTTTAGGGTTGCTTGCGGTTGGCGTACGAGTTTTACCGCTGGTTGTTGGGCTGGTTAGAAGGGTGGGGTTAGGCGCACTTTAGGTTGGCTCAGGGCGGTTTAGAGTTGGTTCAGGGTTGGTTTATTTAGGGTTGGTTTATTTAGGGTTGGTTTATTTAGGGTTGGTTTATTTAGGGTTGGTTTATTTAGGGTTGGTTTATTTAGGGTTGGTTTATTTAGGGTTGGTTTATTTCGGGTTGCTTGCTTGCCTTGCTTGCTTGCTTGCTTTGCTTGCTTGCTTGCTTGTTCCCGTGCTGGAACACAGCAGACCCGTCTTGTCAAAACGGGAGGCGCACGGAAGGGTGGCAGAAAAACTACGATAGTGATCATCATGATAGTGATCGTCATCATACTCATCACCATCTGATGATGATAGTGATCGTCATCATCAGCATCATCAGCATCATCAGCATCATCATCATGATAGTGATGGTCATCATCAGCATCATCAGCATCATCAGCATCATCAGCATCATCATCATCATCATCATCATCATCATCGCCATCATCATGGTGATCCATCATGGTGATCCATCATGGTGATCCATCATGGTGATCCATCATGGTGATCCATCATGGTGATCCATCATGGTGATCCATCATATGGTGATCCATCATGGTGATCCATCATATGGTGATCCATCATGGTGATCCATCATGGTGATCCATCATGGTGATCCATCATGGTGATCCATCATGGTGATCCATCATGGTGATCCATCATCATCATCGTCGTCGTCATCATCAGGCCCGCTTGCATCTCGTACGATGGATAGCGATTCTGAATCTATAATGCCCCGTCTTTTTGCAGTGTTAATAATCCCAAGTGAAGGACATGTTGGAGGTGACAAGAGAACTTGGACAGGACAAAGTGTAGGGGAACCATAATCTATCATTTGCCACGTTTTATTACATTGTCTGATATTAGTATTATTATTACCCTACGTTGCTTAGTGTATATTTCTATTATACATCCAGTATTTCAACTTTGTTATGATTAAAAGGATTGGACAAGTTGGGAGAATATAATTGCATTAATGTCTGTGCTCCTTCATTTCGTTTTTTGCTTTATCCCTCACCTTGTTTCCTTTTTGACTACCTGTCTATCCTTATCTGTTTCTATTTGTTTTCTTTACATTGTTGTAGGAGAATTGAAAGGCTATGGTTAGGGGCCGCCGGGACTGGGCGGCAGCCCTTAAATTAAAAAACCCCATTGAGGTGGAAGAACAACTCCCCGCACCAAAGGGCTCACCCCCGATGAAGCGCAAATCACAAGTCTGAAAAAACACGAGCGGGAAACACGAGCGCGCCCCGCCGCATTAGTAGGGCTCGATCAGTTTCACACTCGTTTCACGCACCACGTGCTTGAGCCGCTAACTCATGCCTCAGGGCGGCGCCCCAGTAGCCGGCGCTGAAGCCGCCCTCGAAGGCGCCGTAGAAGGTGCGCTCCCCACGGGCCTGGAAAGGGAAAGAGAATCATGCAGAACATGTCCTGCACAGTTACTGATCCCAATGACTTGCTTTTTCCCCCTTTGATACATCTTGTTTCCAGGATGATGCATTTTTGTGCCAAAACGCTGAGCCACCCTGTCTAATTCTCCATGAGGCAGCTGGACACCTTGAAGCAAGCAACAATTGGCTGCGAAGGGCGAAACTGCATCCGAGTATGACAAATTGCTCAAGACCCGGCAAGGGTTCTATCGAGGTGCTGTGTTCTGAGGGGAACTCATGGCAGCTCTGCCTGGTTTGCGGAGCTTCGTGCCTTCGCCCTTGCACATGGATCAAATAAGAACATCATCGCGTCTCATAACCTTTAAGAGACTGACTCTTCCTTCCAAGCGTCCCATGAATCCCGATGGCCAGATCCCCGCAGCCTTGGCAACGGTCCCATCTGGACGCTTGACCTCCACGTAGCTCTCCTGGCTCAGCGAACTCAATCCCGCCCAAGAAACTGGCTGGGAACGTATCCGGATGATTTCTCGTCTTCATGAGAAGACCCTGTACTTATATGGAGCTACCTCATGGCGTGCTCATACTTTGCTGGGATACTTGCTCGGTGGTCAGAAAGGACAGAATCCACGCAGGTCCCAGCAAATTACAGTGAAGCCACAATGTATATGTGCTTGTGTGCATGTGCGGCCATGTCTACTTCATGTGTGTGTGTGTGCGTATGTATATGCATGCATTTTGTGTAGGTAGGCAGGTAGACAGGTAGGCAGGTAGGCAGGTAGGCAGGTAGGCAGGTAGGCAGGTAGGCAGGTAGGCAGGTAGGCAGCTAGGCAGCTAGGCAGCTAGGCAGCTAGGCAGGTAGGCAGGTAGGCAGGTAGGAGGGTAGGCAGGTAGGCAGGTTTGCAGGTAGGCAGGTAGGCAGGTAGGCAGGTAGGCAGGTAGGCAGGTAGGCAGGTAGGCAGGTAGGCAGGTAGGCAAGTGGGCAAGTGGGCAAGTGGGCAAGTAGGTAGGTAGGCAGGTGTGCGTGAAGCATGCAACTGTGCTTTCTTCTGCGAGTGTCTGTGCGCATGTGAATGAGCATGCGTGTCGCGTGCGTGTGCGCCACCCGCCTGCGAATGATTATGTACACTGATGTCCGCATGGCCGAAACAACAGGGGCTCACCCTCTTCGAGCTCTTCCCCAGCTCGTCCAGCTCATCCACATCGTACCTGGCTCTCCCATTCGAAAGTATGTCAAATCTAAGGCCGCAATGGACCCCTCGTTTGCCCAATCCAGCGGCAGCGGAGCGACCTGCCTGGCAACTGCCTGGCCCAGGAATGACTTGGCGCCTCAGGGCAACCCAAATCCAACCCAAATCCGAGGCTTCACGGTGGGCTCCCCTCTGAACTTGTCTCGTGCCGAAATCACGGCCCCTGCCGTCAAGAAGAGCTACCGACCTTCCAGGCCCTCGAGGCCGTGGCTTGCCGGGCCCTTGCCCTTGCCCTTGCGGTTCGGCCGCATGAGCCGCCCCGCGCCATGCGAAGCCACACGCCGCTTGCACCGCTCAGGTGATTGGCAACATGGATGTGTTGTGTGTGTGTGTGTGTGCGTGTATTTGTGTGTGTGTGTGCGTGTGCGTGGGTGGGTGTGTTATGTTTTGGCTGGTGTTTCTGTGGGGTGTGCCTGACATTGTCAGGTCTCCCACAAAGGCAATGCCAGTATGCCAGTCCCTTGCAGGTTGCAATTGGGCTGGCTTCAACTGCGCGCTGAGACTGCTTGAGGCGCTCGTAGCGGCTGCCTTCTGTACCAGCTTGAGCATGAGGATCGGCAGAATCCCAAAAACGCCATCGAAATCCATCCCACAGGAGTCCTTACACCCGATTTATGACTATGGCCGAGTTGGGGCGATGTCCATTCAAGACGCCCAACATGTTGGCAGCAACTCACTAGTTGCAATGAATGTATCGCATGCTTCGAGCACCGAGTCACGAGTTGCCTTCTTTTCTGCTCCATGGGAGCCAGCCTAGGGCTGGGCCGGACCATTGCCCGGCTTCTAGTGCCCGAGCAAGCGACTGCCATGGCTGCATGGGCCTGTCTCAAGCTGGCGGAAACCCACAGGCGACTTGGCTGGCATAGTCCACAACAAAGCTACCACTTTTTGAGACACGCCGAAATAATGTTCGAAATCCCAGCGCGGCGTTTGCCGCGAGAGAGCGAGCTCTCTTCCCATTGAGGAAGGCTAAGTGAATCATGGGCCGGCTGCATCCGAGCCGCCCATTGCGCCCGCAGGCTTGGGGCTCTCCTGAGAGCAAGGTGCACCATCTTTCCATACTTGCCAGCTGATACGTTGCACAAGATGCGAGGCTGCTTCGGCCAACAACCAATAGCAACAGTCTGGAGAAGGAAGCACACATGTTATCATTAATACTCGGTTGTTTTTTGCTCCCCTGCTAAAAGTTTAACTTTTGGTCTAATGGAAAACTCATTGGTTGGCAAAAAGCTCAAGTCCTAACATCCAAACAAAATGCACCAAATAATATGTTCTAGTGGACTCCTTCATATTGCAAGGATTCCTGGGGCTCCGGCTGTCCATTTTCTCACCGAATCCCTGGCCACAGCAACGTGCCCGTCATCAGGAGCCTAGGGTCAGGCGATGGGTGGAGAACCAAATAATCAAAATCAAATCTGTCCATCGGACACGGGAAAGGTAGGAATGAAATCTGAAGATTTCTTGCTCTCAATCAGGGAATGTGCCCAAACCACTTGGACCGTGTCTTAAATGGTGACATTCAATGGTGACTTTCATTTGCCTTGATTTTGGGCCAACCAACCCAGCTGAATTTCTCACAAAGGCCACCCCTAGAATACTTGGTTTCCTCCGGGCTTCCCTTCACCTGCCACAAGGAGCTTCCCCCTCCTCCTAATAAGCTCAGGTGACAACCCCAACAGCATGCTCTTTTTTTTCTAGTGCTCGCACCACCTGGAACCTTACCTCAGGGCCGGCCCGGACCACCCCGAACCGATCTGGGCTGAGACCCCAAAGCTTTCAGCGGTTGGGGGAGAAAAAGGGAAAGACACGCCCCGAGGTTGGTTCGCAAGCTGAGGGCGCGGCCGCCCATTTGCCTACGGAGTCCCGGACGAGCGCCCCCGCGAGGCTCTCCTCCGCCTGGACTCACTCGACTCGTGTGAACAGTCCGGCTTCCGATGGGAAAGTGCGGTGAGAAATCTAGGGATGGATGGGATGGGTGGATGGGTGGGTGGTGGATGGGTGGATGGGTGGATGGGTGGATGGGTGGATGAGTGGAGGATGGGAGGAGTCTTCCAGCCCCCAAATTGAACATACACTGGATCGGAAGCTCCATGTGACTGGTTGGGGGGTTCGCCGACACTCTCCGTCCCACGTCCCCAACTTTGAGGCCCCCGCCGTCCACTTCCTCACCGAGTCCCGCGAAACATGGCCGGCGAGGCCCTCCTCCTCCGATGCCTGGGCTCAAATCCACCCCGTGACCCCCGACCAAAACCTCGACTGAGGCCCCCGCCGTCCAGTTCCTCACCGAATGCCGGGCCAAGCCCTTAGCGGCACAAAGCTCCTCAGCCAGCTCCAGGTGCTCCGGCCTAGCTGACATCTCACGACTCGCGCGCGTGAGCCGCCCCTGCGACCCCGCTATCGCTGGCTTCCTAGCGTTGCGCAAAACCTCTGCCAACATCTCCAACTTGTCGCCAATTCGTGGGTGCTTGCATCTCTCACTGCTATGGGCCCATGGGCTGAAACCAAAAATCTGACAGCCGCCCAACAGAAACGGTGGTGCCACATGGAAAGCGAGCGCTCTCCAAGCGCCCGGCGCCCGCACTCCCAGGCGCTGAAGCTCTTGTACGAGTCTCGGCAGAGGCGGATGTCGCGGAAGCTGTGGAATGTCGGGAGGTTCAATGTTGTTGGAGAATAAGAACTTGTTTTTTCTTCGGGTGGCAAGTGCATACAATTAAGGTCTGATCGATGAATAGACCATGACATTTAAAGCATCTCCATTGACTAGGCAGGTGCCTCTTTTTCATGCATCCGAAAGGTCAAGACACAGCCAGCCTGCGAACACTGTGAGTGTGTGTGTGTGTGGCGCGCGGACTATCTTTCAGCAAGAGTCGCTGACTGGACGGACATGCATCAATTTACCGAGCTCCGTTTGCGGGCGGGGTAAGAGATGTGGCGCTCCTGATCTTGAATCGCCCAAGCCAGCCGGCTTTGCCTTCCCCTGGCCTAAATCAGGTGGGCTCGGCCAGGGCTCTTGTAGGCTGTGTGGCTACCTAGTGAGGCACGGATGCTTGAGATGGCTGCGCCAGCATGCGCCCATGGAAGTTGTGCCATCAGGGGCCGTGCAGTCTGTTGCTCGTGCCAGCCAGTGCCGTCGAAAGTGTCCAAGTGACACACAAGAGGTGACATTGTGTTGTCTCTACTTCGGGCCGAGCTCACGCGACGTGTCGGAAAAGTCCGGAAAACACAAGCACAGGCTGGTCTCTTTTGCTTTCCAGCGCGAAAAAGCCTCCTTTAGACCCTTGGTCCTTTCTCGTTCTGGAGAATGGCATTGTGGATATGTGACGATGTGGGTACTCATTCCCCCCAGCTTTACCTCCCAAGCGGTCCAGCCCACAGCCGCAAGCCGCAGAACTTCATGTCCCCGGCCTCACGGCCTCACGCATCCTGTCTGCATCGGCCTCCTCCAAAAGGTAACGCAGCCTCGTGCGAGCACATGGGCACGGGAAGATGGGAAACCTCCGGACCCCGGAGAGGAGCCTTTAGAATAACGGAGCATCGTTAGTTGGCTTGTAGGATTTTCGGATCATGACGGGTCAGGATGCATGCCTCCCTCTGTGCATGCCACAAATATAGCAAGAAGCTAGTGAACATGTTTAACCTTGATTTGAATATCTCATATGCGGTATCTTCCTGTCTGGGTCGGCCACCCTGGGTTTGGAGGCTAGAGCTAAACGAATTTGGCAAACAGGTTCTTCCGACTTTCATCAAGGTCCGTCTCCGCCAGGTATCCATGAAAGAGGAGTCAAAAGAGTCAAAAAGGAAGTACCGTTCGGCTTCACCCCTTTTTGGGACTCTGACCTGCACACCTGAACTGTTGCAGTTCAAGGCCTGCTTTTCAGCAAAGGCTCAAACTGTTCAAGTAACAATGCCGGCTTCGAGCAGCTTTCTGGCCCCTTTTCTGAGGCTCTAGCAGAATAGCAAAAGCATAGGAGACCGCATCTTCCCAAGTGTGCTTGATCCTGCCGTCTGGTGTCGCTGTGCACGCCCCGCTTTGGCATGCGCTCCTTCTGTTCAGCTCCGCCCAGTGGCCGAACGCCTCTCTGACCTCATCCAGCGCCGTCCTGAGGCGAGCAGGTTCAAAGGCTCAAGCCATTAACACAAGCCGCGCAACGAGGCGCTTCTTTTGTCCAACGGCGAGGCAGGCTTTTGAGTGAAGAACCAACCACTGAGTCTCTCGGCTTGCAGTGTGAAGGTCTGAAAGACTTCTGCTCTTCCTGTTGCTCACGAGATAAAACAAGTGACAGCTTTGGTGCCAAAAGTCTTGCCAACACATGATCCTGACAGCCTTGTGTGCGCAAGCTGGGGTCGCTTTTTGGTGCATGACCAGTGGAACAAAGAGGCTGTCGCTCACCAAACATAAACCATCCATGAGAGATTGTCTGATCCCTGTGACACGAAGCTGCACCAGCGAGGCAGCTTCAAAGGGTTGCTGTTTCCTTCTCTGACAGTTTCCTGATTCTTTGCTACACGAAAGGACTGAGCGCAAAAATATGCGACATCCGTCTTGAAACCATGCCACCAATCTCGCACTTTTACCTCCACAACAAGCCCAAGCAAAACAATCCTCCACAACCAGCCCAAGCAAAACAATCCTCCACAACAAGCCCAAGCAAAACAATCAACATATGAAAGCTTGCTTCAGGGAACTGCTCTTGATCCAGATTCTGCCAAGCTGGGCACAGGCCGCGGGCGCAGGCAGAAGCCCTCATGCTACCACTCCGTCACCTCGGCACAACGCGAGCGAGCAAAAGGAGCTGGGCAATCCCAAGTGCCGCTTTCCCGTTGGATGTGTGTGGGTGGATGTTTCTTGATGCTGTGGCTCAAAAAAACGGTACCAAAATGGGTTGCCCTGGCAAATGGAAAGGTAGACTAACACCTGCGTAACCCCAGTGGTTGAATTTTGAGCTATACCCATGTGTTTCTAGGCGCGGACAACAATGAAATGAGCGGAAGGAGAGAGGGTGTGACGGTCTGCATTTCTGCGGGCCATGGCCATGATCAAACCGTGAAAAAGCGTCTCAAGGGTTGACCACACGGGCACGTGTCTCCAAGTTAGGAACCCGAAATTCATGGTTCTGCTTTTGGTTTCCCTCCGAAAGCAAAACAAAAAATGCCAAAGACATGTCACCCAAACCCACGGACTAACAGATCCGACAGCACTTGCTCTGCTTCTGGTTTCCCCCCAGGCCCAAAACCGAAAAAAACCCAAAGACATGTCACCCAAACCCACGGACTAACAGATCCGACAGCACTTGCTCTGCTTCTGGTTTCCCCCCAGGCCCAAAACCGAAAAAAACCCAAAGACATGTCACCCAAACCCACGGACTAACAGATCCGACAGCACTTGCTCTGCTTCTGGTTTCCCCCCAGGCCCAAAACCGAAAAAAACCCAAAGACATGTCACCCAAACCCACGGACTAACAGATCCGACAGCACTTGCTCTGCTTCTGGTTTCCCCCCAGGCCCAAAACCGAAAAAACCCAAAGACATGTCACCCAAACCCACGGACTAACAGATCCGACAGCACTTGCTCTGCTTCTGGTTTCCCCCCAGGCCCAAAACCGAAAAAAAAAAAAAAAAAAAAAAAAAAAAAAAAAAAAAAAAAAAAAACCAAAGACATGTCACCCAAACCCACGGACTAACAGATCCGACAGCACTTGCTCTGCTTCTGGTTTCCCCCCAGGTCCAAAACCGAAAAAAACCCAAAGACATGTCACCCAAACCCACGGACTAACAGATCCGACAGCACTTGCTCTGCTTCTGGTTTCCCCCCAGGCCCAAAACCCACGGACTAACAGATCCGACAGCACTTGCTCTGCTTCTGGTTTCCCCCCAGGCCCAAAACCGAAAAAAACCCAAAGACATGTCACCCAAACCCACGGACTAACAGATCCGACAGCACTTGCTCTGCTTCTGGTTTCCCCCCAGGCCCAAAACCAAAAAACCCAAAGACATGTCACCCAAACCCACGGAATCCACGGCACTTGCTTTGCTTCTGGTTTCCCCCCAGGCCCAAAGCCAACAAACCCAAAGACATGTCACCCAAACCCACGGATCCCACGGCAGCTCTGCTTCTGGTTTCCCCCCAGGCCCAAAACCAAAAACCCAAAGACATGTCACCCAAACCCACGGATCCCACGGCACTTGCTCTGCTTCTGGTTTCCCCCAGGCCCAAAACCGAAAAAACCCAAAGACATGTCACCCAAACCCACGGATCCCACGGCAGCTCTGCTTCTGGTTTCCCCCCCGGCCCAAAACCAAAAAACCCAAAGACATGTCACGGATCCCACGGCACTTGCTCTGCTTCTGGTTTCCCCCCAGGCCCAAAACCAAAAACCCCAAAGACGTGTCACCCAAACCCACGGATCCCACGGCAGCTCTGCTTCTGGTTTCCCCCCAGGCCCAAAACCAAAAAACCCAAAGACATGTCACCCAAACCCACGGATCCCACGGCACTTGCTCCGCTTCTGGTTTCCTCCCAGGCCCAAAACCAAAAAACCCAAAGACATGTCACCCAAACCCACGGATCCCACGGCACTTGCTCTGCTTCTGGTTTCCCCCCAAGCCCAAAACCAAAAACCCCAAAGACATGTCACCCAAACCCACGGATCCCACGGCACTTGCTCTGCTTCTGGTTTCCCCCCAGGCCCAAAACCAAAAAACCCAAAGACATGTCACCCAAACCCACGGATCCCACGGCACTTGCTCTGCTTCTGGTTTCCCCCCAAGCCCAAAACCAAAAAAAACAAGACATGTCACCCAAACCCACGGATCCCACGGCACTTGCTCTGCTTCTGGGCTCCCCCCAGGCCCAAAACCAAAAAACCCAAAGACATGTCACCCAAACCCACGGATCCCGCGGCACTTGCTCTGCTTCTGGTTTCCCCCCAGGCCCAAAACCAAAAAACCCAAAGACATGTCACCCAAACCCACGGATCCCACGGCACTTGCTCTGCTTCTGGTTTCCCCCCAGGCCCAAAACCAAAAAACCCAAAGACATGTCACCCAAACCCACGGATCCCACGGCACTTGCTTTGCTTCTGGTTTCTGTTCCCCGGCACTTGCTCCGCTTCTGGTTTCCTCCCAGGCCCAAAACCAAAAAACCCAAAGACATGTCACCCAAACCCACGGATCCCACGGCACTTGCTCTGCTTCTGGTTTCCCCCCAGGCCCAAAACCAAAAAACCCAAAGACATGTCACCCAAACCCACGGATCCCACGGCACTTGCTCTGCTTCTGGTTTCCCCCCAGGCCCAAAACCAAAAAACCCAAAGACATGTCACCCAAACCCACGGATCCCACGGCACTTGCTCTGCTTCTGGTTTCCCCCCAGGCCCAAAACCAAAAAACCCAAAGACATGTCACCCAAACCCACGGACTAACAGATCCGACAGCACTTGCTCTGCTTCTGGTTTCCCCCCAGGCCCAAAACCAAAAAACCCAAAGACATGTCACCCAAACCCACGGATCCCATGGCACTTGCTCTGCTTCTGGTTTCCCCCCAGGCCCAAAACCAAAAACCCAAAGACATGTCACCCAAACCCACGGATCCCACAGCACTTGCTCTGCTTCTGGTTTCCCCCCAGGCCCAAAACCGAAAAAAACACAAAGACATGTCACCCAAACCCACGGATCCCACGGCACTTGCTCTGCTTCTGGTTTCCCCCCAGGCCCAAAACCAAAAAACCCAAAGACATGTCACCCAAACCCACGGATCCCACGGCACTTGCTCTGCTTCTGGTTTCCCCCCAGGCCCAAAACCAAAAAACCCAAAGACATGTCACCCAAACCCACGGATCCCGCGGCACTTGCTCTGCTTCTGGTTTGTCACCCAAACCCACGGATCCCAAAACCAAAAAACCCAAAAACCCATGTCACCCCAAACCCAAAGACATGTCACCCAAACGATCCCATGGCACTTGCTCTGCTTCTGGTTTTTCTTTCCAGGCTCAAAACCAAAAAACCCAAAGACATGTCACCCAAACCCAAACCAAAAACCCAAAGACATGTCACCCAAACCCTCGGATCCCACGGCAGCTCTGCTTCTGAGTTCCCCCCAGGCCCAAAACCAAAAAACCCAAAGACATGTCACCCAAACCCACGGATCCCACGGCACTTGCTCCGCTTCTGGTTTCCCCCCAGGCCAAAAACCAAAAAACCCAAAGACATGTCACCCAAACCCACGGATCCCACGGCACTTGCTCTGCTTCTGGTTTCCCCCCAGGCCCAAAACCAAAAAACCCAAAGACATGTCACCCAAACCCACGGATCCCACGGCACTTGCTCTGCTTCTGGTTTCCCCCCAGGCCCAAAACCAAAAACCCAAAGACATGTCACCCAAACCCACGGATCCCACGGCACTTGCTTTGCTTCTGGTTTCCCCCCAGGCCCAAACCAAAAAACCCAAAGACATGTCACCCAAACCCACGGATCCCACGGCACTTGCTCTGCTTCTGGTTTTTCTTTCCAGGCCCAAAACCAAAAAAACCAAAGACATGTCACCCACGGATCCCACAGCACTTGCTCTGCTTCTGGTTTCCCCCCAGGCCCAAAACCAAAAAACCCAAAGACATGTCACCCAAACCCACGGATCCCACGGCACTTGCTCTGCTTCTGGTTTCCCCCAAGGCCCAAAACCAAAACACCCAGAGGCATGTCACCCAAACCCACGGATCCCACGGCACTTGCTCTGCTTCTGGTTCCCCCCCAGGCCCAAAACCAAAAAACCCAAAGACATGTCACCCAAACCCACGGATCCCACGGCACTTGCTCTGCTTCTGGTTTCCCCCCAGGCCCAAAACCAAAAAACCCAAATACACCAGCATAGACCCCAGATAGCACACCACGGCTATGAACCATGACGCAGCATCATAATGGTTCCCGCGGCATGATAATGATGATGTTGACAGCATCTTGATGATGTTGACAGCATCATGAAAATACCACAGCTACTCACAGCATTGTGCGCTACATAGACGCGCAGACAACCTCCTAGTGAGTCCATCAGCGAAACAATGATGTTGACAGGATGATGCTGATACACCAGCCACAAACGATTCCGCGCTACATATCTAGCAAAAGAAAGGCAGAGACGACGTCCTGATGAGTTCAACAGCATCATGACGATGCGGACAGCATCATGATGATGCTCACAGCATCATGGTGATGGCAAAGGCAGCATCTTGATTATACCACAGCCACGAATCATCTTGCGACAGTGTAATGAAATTCAGCATCATCCTGATGTTGACAGCAGTATGCCCGCCACCACACCCACGAACCATAACGCGGCATCGCAGCGATTGCAGCAGCATCATAACGTGGTTGACAACATCATGATGATACACCAGCCACGAACCATTACGCGCGACAGTTAGAGCAGCAACAACGTCCGAATCGGTTCAACAGCATCATGATGCTGCTGACAGCATCATGATGCTGCGGCCAGCATCATGATGATGCGACAACCACGATACCCCAAACAGCACCCGCCCTAGCACCCTGCCATCCATATGCGCCCGCACCATCACCAACACCCGAAAACAGCAGCCCCAAGCGCCGGACACGTCCCCGAGCACCCTGCCGTCACGCACTGTCACCAGCACCTGAACCTGAACCGAACAGCACCCAAAACCGCACCTGCGCCAGCACCCCAAAGTGCATGCCTCCTAGCTCCCAGCCGTCGATCTTGCAAAACAATTTCCCTTCTTCATTAGAAGTCTATAGTTTCCAGCTATCTGGGAAATAAGCCCACGCGGTCAGCTGCACCTCCAACAGCAACACAAAACAGCACCTGCGCCACCACCCCAAACTGCATGCCCCCTAGCACCCGCCGGCAATCTCCGAAAATTGCGCCCACAACGTCAGCAGCACCTCAAGCAGCACCCCAAACAGTACCCGAAAACAGCTGCATCAGCTCCCCAAACTGCATGCGGCCATCAATCTTGCAAGAATGCGCCTGCACCATCACCAGCACCTCAATCAGCACCCCAAACTGAGTACCCCCCCGCTGTCCATCAGCGCCCTAAACAGCACAGGCACCAGCACCGTAATCTGCATGCCCCTCAGTTTTGCAAAGCGCCACCTCCACCAGCACCCGAAACTGCATGCCCCCTATCAATCTTGCAAAACAGGACCTCCACCAGCACTCCAAACTACATGGCCGCACCCGAAACTGCATGACTTCTAGCGCCTGGCCGTCAATCTCGCAAAACAGGACCTCCACCAACACTCCAAACTACATGCCCCCACTAGCGCCTGAAACTGCATGCCCCCTAGCAACCCGCCGTCAATCTCGCAAAACAGCACCTCCACCAGCACTCCAAACTAACTGCATGCCCCCTAGCACCCGGCCGTCAATCTCGCAAAGCGGCACCTCCACCAGCACCCGAAACTGCATGCCCTCTAGCACCCGGCCGTCAATCTCGCCAAACAGCACCTCCACCAGCACCCCAAACTACATGACCCCTAGCACTTGGCCGTCAATCTTGCAACACAGCACCTCCACCAGCACCCCAAACTGCATGCCCCCTAGCACCCGTCCGTCAATCTCGCAAAACAGCACCTCCACCAGCACCCCAAACTGCATGACCCCCAGCACCCGGCCCTCAATCTCGCAAATCACTTTCCCTTCTTTATTAGAAGTTAGAACCCCTATAGCTTTCAGCTATCTGGGGAAAGACATGTCACCCAAACCCACGGATCCCACGGCACTTGCTCTGCTTCTGGTTTCCCCCCAGGCCCAAAACCAAAAAACCCAGAGGCATGTCACCCAAACCCACGGATCCCACGGCACTTGCTCTGCTTCTGGTTTCCCCGCAGGTCCAAAACCAAAACACCCAGAGGCATGTCACCCAAACCCACGGATCCCACGGCACTTGCTCTGCTTCTGGTTTCTCCCCAGGCCCAAAACCAAAACACCCAGAGGCATGTCACCCAAACCCACGGATCCCACGGCACTTGCTCTGCTTCTGGTTTCCCCCCAGGCCCAAAACCAAAAAACAAAGACATGTCACCCAAACCCACGGCACCAATGGAACGAACGGGACGACTGGGACGACCTGGTGGATGCCGGGCCGCGGTCCAGCCACCGGAGCCGCCTCCCTTTTGCACCGTGCCCGGCGTGGGTAGCGGCAGGCGCTTGGGCGCCGGCTCCTGTGCGGAAGACACATCTCCAGCAAGACATGTCTAACCCATTAACATCACCTCAAGGAAGTGCACTGCATCTCTTCTTCTTCTTCTTCTTCTTCTTCTTCTTCGTCTTCTTCGTTTCTTGCACCTGCTTGTTGTCCTTCTTCTTCTGCTGCCCTTTCTGCTTGCCCTTGCCCTTCTTGTCCCTGGGGAAGGCCAAGCAGAAGCGAGCAAGGAGGAGGGAGGCAGAAGCATCACTTTCGACCGTAGGATAACCTCCCGCAAATCAACCAAAGTCCTTACGGTCCTTTGAAACATCGCAAGGAACCAGCTTGAATCACCGCGATTCAAAGCTCCAGATATACTCAGTGTTCCCCAGAAAGTATCATGATCATCTCCCACAAGCACCAGGGGAGTTTTGCCAGGGAGCAGCTCAAGACCCCTTGGCCTGCTTCGGCTCCTCTTTTCCAGGGCCGCTTTCCTTCTGCGGATGCTACTGCTGTCCGTGCTGCAATCCTCAGTCGGTGGGATATATCCGGCCCCTCGAGTCAAAAGCTGGCTTGGGAAACTTTTCTGGCAAAAATCATGAGGTGAATGACGAGCATGGTGTTTCGTGGACCAACCTGACTTGCAACCAACACGACGGCTCGCTTGGCTGCTGGTCACAAACCAATCGCTCCGACACTTTGGGTCATCCCTCCAACCTCCAAAGATACCGCCATGTTTGTACAACCGCATCCTTCAGACACGCCATGATCACGGAAGGGCATGTCCGAAGACCATTGGTTCCCAGGTCAGCTTTTCCACACTTGGTAGGGGACCGTCTGCGACAAGCTGAGGGGACTCCCCGCTCAAAGATGACGAGAAATCTCAGCCAGCTGAAGCAGGCTAACATGTTAAAGGCTCTGGAGAACCACGTCTATCTGAGCCAAACGGAGTTGCACGTACATGCAGACCATATAGATTCCTAGAGTCATGTGTCATTAAAACTGTGGCCAAAAGAAGCTTCTGCTGCCATCGTTGCTTGGTTGTTTTGAAGCAACTGTTGAGGTCCCCAAGTCTTTGAGGGAACACTAACAGTGGGGGAGCAACAATGCGTGACATGTTGATCGCCATGCGCAGTCACCTCTCAAAGGGTCCTGAAAGCGCAACTAGGCCTGCAGGTTGAATCTGCTCCAAGTTGCACTACGAGCGGGGCTGCGACTCCTCTGCCTGCAGAGCATGAGTGCATAGGGGACCCCTGCAAATGGTTGCGTTCCTTTTGGTTTCTCTTTACCATCCAAAAGTAGGCCGGAGCAATCACATGCTTCTTCCCCCAACCTGCGGCGATGCTGGACTCTGCAAGATCCGCGAACAAAAACGAGTGGCGCGACGGTCAGCAAGACCAATGAAATCAATACACCCCGCCTTGCTGTTGGGTGGTCTCCATATTACTAGCTTGATACATAACGTCCGCATGTTCTCAAGCATTCCTTGAGAGGATGGCTTCTAGACAAGGCTTGGCCCCACATGTGCAGCCGAAGGACACCAATCGTGGATCCCGCCCTGTGGTTCTTACGCCGAAGTTTGGTCTCACACTCTCATGAGCCACCGCTCAACTTGACCCCGCCTCTCTTGCCGGTCTTCAACATCACTCCCTGCATCGCTGTCGGAGTTGGCAGTGTACTTGTCATCCGTGCCTCGGGAGAAGCTAGGCATCCGCCGGAAAATCCGTGCAGTGCTTTGCTCCAATCCAAAACTCCTGCCAGAATATACAGGGAGCAGGCCGATCCTGCTTGTTTGTGCTTTGGTTTGCGGTGGGCAGAATGCTGCGTGGAATACATGTTCTTCTGCATTTGAAGAACACCCCCCCTTTCCACTTGGTGTCCAAGGCAAGTGCGAGTCCCCAACCATTCTGTGGGTCAATCAAAAGAACTGGCCCGGCCAAGGAAACAAGGCCCCGGCTCCTCTTCTTGCCACCATCCATGAGGGTTTTGGCCAACTTGCATAGGGTCGCAGAGGGCTGGTGGGACATCCTCAGAGCGAGCGACATGTGCCAAGATCAGGAAAAAATATCGAGTTCCAACCCCACATTGACTTGGCTGTGGCTCAAAAAACCGGAACCAAAATGAAACCCTGGTAAGTGGAAACATGGACTAAAACCTGCGTAACCCCTCCTGTTTGATTTTGAGCCACACCCACTTCTCAACCATCCCATGGAGTGTTTTCTCCCCACCCGGCGGGACTTTTTCTTTTCTCCCGTGTTTCACCAGGGAACAGGAGGGTCTTCTCCAAATGCCCCATGACCTCCTCCACGTCCTCTGCCCTCTTCTCCGCGATCTCCCGCAGCTTTGACTTCGCATCCTCGAAGGCAGGGAGGGCCCAGCATTGGGTCAAGAAGCCACGGTGCCAGCGAACGGCACAAAGAGGCCAGGAGTTGTTTGTGAGGTTGGAAATACTCTAGGATGATCCAAGCGTCTTTGTCCAGCTTGAACCTGGCAAACACAGAGGTCAAGGGAGCCAACTTGCAGTCTAGACAGGCTGGAGAAGCTACAAGTGCATACAAATAGAGCAAATTAGATCCTTGCTGGACTCGATGCACATGATCCTCAATCTGATTAGAGGTATCATCATGCACGTGAGCCAGCCTCTGTGCCAAGGCTTTTGCAGTGGTCACATCCTGGGATCAGATCAGATCGCGGTCGCTGCGTGGCCGCGCTAAGGATGCAGCTGGAATCTGCTTCAGCTCACCTGGCTGCAGCACTCACAAAACTCATGTCCTTTGTGCCACCTTTCGACTGGCGAACCTGCGCAGCTTGCCAAAAAAAGTGGGGGGGGGGTCGTGGCAAAACCAACGCCTGGCGGCTCCCCTGAATCCCTGTCCACACTTGCCAGTCCTGTCGCGTGTCCTTGGAGAACAAAAACCCCGTCCACCCTGTGTGCCCGGGGCCCGGGGCCCCGTTTAACACGCAGCCGTTCCAGCGCGCCGGGCCTTCCAGGACTTTGCCGATCAGAAGCGTCGCAGTGGCAGAGGGCCTGTGGCAAGCGAAATCGCGGGAAGGCACGGCGACAGCGAAACTTTGGGTAAGCGGAGCAACCCGGCCAGCAGTTCGATGAAACCGTGGCACCAAATAGCAGCTTCGGTCGGAAACGGGAAATTATACCATTCCAAGCGCCATAGCCCTCAACCGACAAACCATCAGCCAGCAAACCATCGAAACCGGCTGGATCACAGTCAAACAAATTGCTGCTCTGCTCCTTTCACTCAAGCCTTATATTCGCCTCGGCCCCCGGGGCCAGGAAGCGAGCCCTAGCCCCTTGCCTTGGACAGCTCGCCAACCGCCAAACCAACTGGCTACGCATGCCAGGCAACGTCGTTTCTGGCCAATTCTTCAATTCTTCGGCTTCCCTCACGCCTGGCCCTGAGGAAGCCTTCAAGTAAAATCGCCCCTGGTCGAGGATGCAGCCGCTTTGGGCAGCAAGACAACCCTTGTAGCCCCCCGTTTCCAGCCTCTTGCACAGGCTCAAGTGCTGCTCAAGCCGGTCAAAGTCCTCCTTCTGCGTCTTCTTCCGCCGCACCCTGGCTGGTAGCCAAGGACTTTAGCGCAAGGCCACAAAACAGCCTGTCACTCCAAGCGGGGGCCAAGCTTCAAGAGTGAATCAAGTGAATCAAGAGAGCCCTGTACAATCAGCATCGCAAATCTCAAATGTTTTAGCAATCCACAAGTCCCTGGGTAGTGTTGAGCCTCAACTCCGTCAAGCGAGAGACCACCCGGGTGTCCTTAGCCAGGCGTCAGCAGTTTAGTTTGTTACATAGAGTTGTCGTGAAAGCCCCTCAAGTCCCTCGAGTAAGTACTTAAACCTGTAAACGATCGAAATAGTGCGATGAGCAACAGTCAACCTGCATGTTCCTCCAAACTGATAGGACAAACAAAGAATGTGTGAGTAGATGTACGTTGCAGATTAAATTGCTAGGCACCAACTTTACAGGTACCAGTACATAGCATCTGAGCACATGACCAGGCTGTATCGTGTGGCCAGTCGCTCGATGTTTCGGTCAGGCTTGACCTGCGTGCAACCCAATCAGCTGCTAAAAAAACGCATCCCGACATTCCTTCTTTGGGCCATGTGCCAGCCAGCCATCAAAAACTGAGCCACGCACTGCAAGCATCTTCCGACCGGATGGACCAAAACACGGAGAACCGGTGGCCGCGCCTTCCCGACAAACTGGCCACACTCCATCTCGCCGAGCTTGGCCACCAGCAGTCCTCACATCGCAGTGAGTGGCAGAAGACGAACCCCTCTGCAAGCGGGCAGTATGTTTCCTGAAAGATGGGGTAGTGTACCCCTGTGTTTGGGAGAATGGCTATAGGTCCAAGGTTCATGGAGCAACTTAGTACCTTCCAGCGTCTCTGCAGCTTGCGTTTGAGACACGCTCTCCGCAAACGCGAGAAGCCCGGAGGACACTATGCCGGGGCACTCCCCAGAAAAATTATGACATTGCATTGTGACACAATTCCCTCAGACCATGTTCTTGAAACGTGGAGAAGACTCTGCCCCACTTCCTTCGGAGAGCTTCCGGTAGTTCTCTCTCAAAAATGAAGAAAGGCCCTTGTGACTCCCAAAACCAAACAGATCCTGCCCCAAGCAAATTCCCCAACAAAGACCCAGCCTGTCTCTACAGCCGCAGAGGAAGACCGTTCCCATCCCCAAAAAGAATAACGCGCGGGCGCGCGCGCGCGCGTCCTGTGGGGCTGCGCGCCTGCTCCAGGACCTCGTAGAGCTTCGCCAGGTCCTCGCGCTCGGTGCTCAAGGGGAAGCCAGAGGAATGGCAAAAAAAACAAACTCGGTGTGAGATCCCCCTAGCTTAAGACGCAACTAGGTACTGGTCGAAACTATGCCGTGATTGAATCTAGCCGTGCCTCCCAGAAGGGGGACAGAGAGAGAAAGAGAGAGAGAGAGAGAACCAAAGAGAAAGAGAAAGAGAAAGAGAAAGAGAAAGAAAAAGAAAAAGAGAGAGAGAGAGATAGAGAGAAAGAGAAAGAGAAAGAGAAAGAGAAAGAGAAAGAGAAAGAGAAAGAGAAAGAGAAAGAGAAAGAGAAAGAAAAGAGAAAGAAAAAGAGAGAGAGCGAGAGAGAGCGAGAGAGACAGAGAGAGAGAAAGAAGGAAAAAGAGAAAGAGAAAGAAAGAGAGAGAGAGAGAGAGAGAGCGAGAGAGAGCGAGAGAGAGAGAGAGAGAGAGAAAAAGAGAAGGAAAAAGAGAAAGAGAAAGAAAAAGAGAGAGAGAGAGAGAGAGCGAGAGAGAGCGAGAGAGAGAGAGAGAGAGAAAGAGAAGGAAAAAGAGAAAGAGAAAGTGAAAGAGAGAGAGAGAGATATATATATATATACATCCTCAGAATTGCATTGAACACGCCTACAGGGCTAATGACCATCCCTGTTGACTCTTGCAAAGCAGCGCGGAAGATAAGTTGGGTGTCCTGCTCCTTCGTGTCCTTCCTTCTTCCTGAGACGAAGCCACTGCAGCACACCATACACACCATAGCCCAAAAGCGAGTTCTTGACAGCACCAAATGCGGCTGATGCGGCTCATCAGCTCATCCAGCCGCACGAGCCACCTGTCCTCGATGTTGAAGTGATCTCCCAACTTTCCTCGTGCCCCGACAGCTAGAAAAAAGGTTGTGAGATGCAGAAGTATCAGCGTCCCCCCCTAGTTTGTGGTTTGGTTTGGTGGTTTGGACGTGAGGGCCACCTCCCCATTTGGCTTCAACAGGAGCTGGGGTTCAAATCCCAAACCGCCAATCCACTCCTTGCCAGGCGTCTTACATCTGGATCCAGGAATTCCACGGGCTCAACCGGCATGGGCTTCTTCTCCTCCTTCTTCTCCGGCTTTTCCTCTCCTTTGAGTCTGGAAATGAATTGTAAACTTGGGACGGCAAGACCCTGAAGAAAAATACAACGAGCGCTTTTAAGGGTTGATTCCCCATTCTTTTCAACCATCGTTCTTTTCAAAAACCAGCAATGTTCCCTGGGTTTCCGGAGAATTTCGATCCCTGGAAAGAATGGGGAAGGTACCCGTAGAGCACTGAGCTGAACACATATCTCCCCTGGCCCTCGTACCAAGTTCTGGATGGACACGATTGGAGAGGCCCTTCATAAGCGACCCTTGTCAGGGAATCCTGCTTTGAGGGAGACATTCCATCCACTTTCGCACCCGTCTCTTTAAGTCGAAGCGCTCGTGGGCGACTTGCTCGTGCTCCGAGAAGCTGCCATGGCATTTGCCATCATCATCATCCTGGGTGGTGCAACCAACGCGAAGGCAAAACCAATGAGTTAGGGAAGGCGAATTTTCCTCTGGATTCACAAACTGAAATCGAACAAACAATTGACAGAGCTGTTTGAAGGCTATGGGTGGCGGCTGTTGCAGCCGAGCATCATCGGATTTGGCATCATCGGCATTCCTGTCAGGCACCCATCCAAATCAATGAGAAGGTGAATACTTCAAACAGCAAGCTTGCAGGCAAGCAACCCATGTTCCCCATCATGGGCATGTTCATCTGCGGCATTGCCGGAGACATGCCCATGCCCATCATCGGCATGGCATTGGGCATCATGCCCATGCTGCCCATGCCTTAGTACATGTGCAAGCTTGTTTCTGCGGTCTTTCCACGCTAGGGTCAGCTCAGGTTGCATTGCTACGTGCGGCCCAGGCTGCCCATCGCTCCCATGTTAGCGGGCATGCCTGCGGGCATGCCTGACAGTCTCACACGGCCCTTTGTCTGTCTTTGCACAAAGCGCCTCCTGTCATGCCCGCCATGTTCCCCTGCTGCATCTGCCTTGGTTCACATGGCAGAGAGCTGGTGAGCTGGTGAGCCCCGTCAATCCGGCCCCTAGTTCCGAGGCCGAAGCGCAACCAGCAGCTCAAGTCCAGGCCATGGCTGCAAGGGAAAACACAAACCGCATGCGATGTCGAGGGACTGTGGTCCATCTCCGGAAGAGGCTGGGGGGCTTGGGTGTGTGCGCGTGTTTTGAAGTTCCGCGCAGGCGTTCGTGGCTCAAACATGGCATGGCGGCGTGAGTGTTTGCGGGTGCGTGCCGCAAGGTCGCGGCAAGTGCGCATGTATCATCAGCGATGCATCAACAGTGCAGTGCGGGTGGATGGGAATGATTCGTTGGAGAATGTGGTTGGCATCCCGCTGCGCTGCCGGCTGAGAGCTCAGGGTCTTCCAACGGCATTCAGCAGTTGCAGCAGGCATGCAGAAATCAAGCAGCGAGCATTGAAGTCCACCAACAAGCACTGCACCCAAGCCAGTGCCAGAATAAGACGTGTCCTCCCACTTTGGTTGCTTCCCAAATCTTAGGATCGCCTTTTCAGGGTCGGCCTCAAAAAAATGGCACGGCATGGGTGATTATTGACTAGGGGAGGGTATCATGCCCACAAATCGGCTGTAGGACTGCTGCAAAAGCTGCAGCGGCTGGTGCCTTAGCTCTCATCTCAAGCCTGCTTTGGAGGTGAGGCTCAATGCTGGTGTCGTTGAAGATAGCAAAACCCATGTGGCCATGGGTCAAATTCCCGTACCCCCAGTGAACATCCCAATCTCCACTAAAATCGACTAGAATGGGTGGTGCACCTACACCAAAATGGGATCCCATTGGTTTTGACCCACAGCCATGTTAACCCTGGACAAAACTATTGCCCTCATGTGGCAAGGAGTCAAACACCAAGCGTCAAGCCCTGCCGCTATCTGACTCTGACTGGCTTGAACGGCCACACGAGCGGTCTCGATCTGTGCCGTCTGCACAGCATGAGGCCCGCACCAATTGTCCTCCAACTGGTTTACAGCTCCTGTGCGCGCTGCTCTGGTCTGGCAAGAAATAGCTCAACTAACTGCTATGCTGAAGGCTGCTTAAACTCATACAAACGTAGGTCATCGCAAGCCAACCAACAAAGCACGCATGTTCCGGACCGTCAGACCTTTACCTCACGTGCAAACAAGCAAACCAAGAAAAGGCAGGCTTGGCTTGCGCCTGGACTGAGCCCGGCCCAAAGAAATTCTTCCTTTGGAGGTTCCGCCAGTGTCCCGGTCCCCGCCTTGGACTTGCTTCTCCACTTCCCGGTACTCCTCCAGGGACCTCAGTCGGGTCCCCTCGCTCATTGCATCAGTGACGCCTGCCAGACGTTTGAGCTACCTGGTCCGGAATTCTCCCAACAAAAACATGGAAGTGCACAGGCTCTCTCGAACAGGAGGGCCCTCCCAGCAACAAAAACATAGAAGTGCACAAGGGCTGGCCAGTCTTTCAAGCACCCCAGACATTTCCTCCACTTCCGCACCTCGTCAGCAGCTTGGAGGGCGCCTCCGGTGCTGGAACGCCTCCAGGAGTGGTACCGTTCTATGAGTGAGAAAAGGAAGGGAGGGTGAAAGGCGAATCTGGCGATTCAGCTCTCTGGGTAACTCCTGCCTTTGGTTTCCCTCTAACAACCCAAAACAAGCATAGACAAAAGGAAAAACCCATTGAACAGTGGACCAATCAAGCTCTTGTCCCTGGGTCTCCCGGTCTCCCTGCCTCTAAGGCGCTGCTTTGCAAGCTCTGCCGGGATTTCACGGGTTCGATGCACCTGTCTCGTGATGGGCTGTGAACTCTGCGGGTAGGGGCCAGAAAAGCGCATCCCCAATCAAGCTGATGACTTCACTTGATCCTGACATGCAGCGCATCCTAAATCAGATTGATTGTCTGTTTTCGCGACCGGAAGACGGCTGCCACAACCATGTCTTCGGGAGCCCCCAAAAAAAAGAATCCCCGGGCGCACACTCCCGCGCTTCGCACTTCCCCAACCCCGCCTTGTCCAAATGCCCGGTGTGAGGCGCAGATGGAATGGGAGTCCAGGTGGCCTTTGAGCGGACGGGGACAGACCCGCGGGATCTTCTTGGAAGGATGCAGTGGCAATCTCGTGTAACTGTTGAGCAAAGATGGGTAACTGAGCAAAGATGGCAAATGTCCCCTCTTGTCAAGCTCAGGGAATGCTTGGAAGAACTGTGCCATGTACTTCTCCACTTGCTTCTTGAGACGGAGCAGATCGCCTCAGCAAGCCTCTCAAGCGCCCGTGCCTCTTGGGTGCAGTACTGGTACAACACCCGCTGCACATGGGCCCGCGGCGCCTCACGCATTTGTGGAGCTGAGCTGCCTACAGCCTTTTGAAAGCCTTCTGGTTCCAGCAAAAGACGACCACTTTGGACGCAAAACTCTGCCCATCAAAGGATTGGTTTAGATAAACCCGCCTCCGGCCCACTGAGAGTCAGGGCGATGCCCACCGGGCCAACGGCCATGCAAACCTCCACGAAAGCTGCTCCGCCCCCCTCTGCCGTCTCTCCGTCAGAAGGGGGCCACACGTGCCACATCCACTGGGGAGGCACAGGGGCCAGCTCTGCCGCGATATACTCCACCTATCGGTCAATCCAACAAAAATGCGGGCAGGCCGTTTTTGGACTATTGGCAGTGAGCTACCCATAGGGATCCAACACCACAGGGGCCAAACTCACTTTCACCGGTCCCACCTCGCTGAGGCTCCCCTTCTGCAACTCCTGCAGCAGGATGTGGCCCAGCCAGCACCGGGCATGGTCCGCTGTGTTCGAATTCTTGGACCCCACGAAGAGGAAGCCCACCTTGCCGCGACACACGGCGGGCCGCAGCGTGCCTTCCACCAGTTCACCTTGCTCGAGAGGTCTCACAGCCGCTGGGGCGTAGTGGTGCTCATAAACGACACCCAGAGAGATGTCCTTGGTGTGGTGTCGCACGGCTCCAAACCCCGGAGGGAGGGGTCGGCGTGGTCGGTCACTGGACACCATGAGAGCTCAAACCGTGCATTGGCGGGACTCTAGCTTCAGGCACCAAGCCTTCTGGCGGTGTCATAAGCTTCAAGGAATTGTTGGTTGGCCAGCATCGTTGAAGATTGATGAGTAGCCAAACGGCGTCAAGGTCAGAAAATTATAGTTCCCTGTGGTGAGCCTAATCAATTTAGTTGCCATTGGAGCCAAAAAACTAGGCCATGCACCGCTTGACAGGATCTGTCATTGGAACAAGCACACCACCTTCTTGCTGCCAGGTCTGACTTCAATGGCCGCAGCTTGTTTGGACTCCGCAGGCATACGGTGCTTTGAAAGCTAACGAGTCAGATTTTATGACCCTGCCTGCCACACGGCACACGCCATTGAGGCACTCTCAATCCGCGCGCAAAAGTCTAGTACATCTCAAAATCGGCAACGGGTCTCACTCCTTGCTGTACCAGGCCTAGGTCGCACGCTGCTTGTAGCATGCCAGGCCTGGAAGCATCAAGTACCCGGCGGGGCTGATTGACCGCAGCGCCCGGTATCATTTTCCGGTCCTCCTGCCGACTGATCGATGCCATTGACTGAATCCCATTGCCATTGGAGCTCGAAGGCAACTGGAAACAGAAACCAACCTGTTGTACGCGATTCCCACGTCCAACCCCTAGCTGTTGCAAAACTGGAGTGTTCTTACTGGCCAGGTTCAGCTTGAACCTCTCCTCCACAACCACCGTGACATCCAGGCCTTGGTGTCAGGTACCGAACAGGAAGTATTCGCCCATTCACTCCGAGGTAGAACCTCCGGAAACTTCAAGTTGTCAGGTGTCCCTTTAAACAATCTCAACAGGGAACCATCAAAAAATGCACCAGCATAGATCCAAGATAGCAAAAGACTGCATGTGGGTGTCAAAACAGCAAATGCTTGACAAGCGTAAATGCTAACATGAACAGGCTCCTACTGCCAGCAACACCCTGCGCAGCGACGCTACAACAGCAACTGCACACCTTCAAGAGGACTCAGATCGCGTATGCAACAGCGCCCTACAACAGCGCACTGCACAAGTACAAACCCTTGCAACAGCAACAGCACGCTCCTACAAACAGCATTTCCGCTACACGGCTGCACCCCACGACAGGACCCTACAACAGAAACCCTGCTACGGCAACCTGCGCGACTCAGAATAAAGTCCTCAAGCAGCAGACGGCACCCTGTAGCTGCACCCTGCCCTGCACCCTCCAACTTCACCCTGCCCTTCTCTACTTGAAATTAGAAAACCCATACAGCTCTTGGCTATCTGGGGGAATAGACACCTCGATTCTGCTTGCGTGCGCGCGCCATTCGGGAGCGACTAACCTCGCGGCCACCTGAAGCGGTCCAACCCTTTTCCGAAAAAGACTTAGGGGTGAGCCCTGGGAGTGGCGAAGCATCTCGGAAGCAGACAGCTCGGCCTATTGCAAACATTAGCTCCCCTGTTCAAAGGAAGGAGAAATGGTCAAAACTCCGCCCCCCTCCACAAAAAAGACGCATAATCGCCCTGGAGCAATGGTCGAGGCCCCGGGCCCTTGAACCCGCCAGGCATCGGCCGCAGCACCCGAACCTTCCTGACAGCCCGGCTGGTGCTTCGCGCCTTTTTTGCTGAGTACCTTGACATTCTGCCGGACTGTGTTCCATTTGGATGCCGCAACTCGACCTACCCCCATGTGTTGCGGACCATTCCTGAGGTTGACTTGCATGGGAAATGACTATGGGCTGTTGTAAACTTGAGCCGGAGGAGGTAGCCACCCAAGTGTTGAATAAAATCAACAAGTCAAGTTTTCACCCCATGCACTTGCTTATGCGTGATCAAAAGAAGGCTGTTGATACATCCGCTTCTAGTCGCCACCTGCGTGGTAGGCCACCCAAGGAATCACCTAGAGGGACTGTTGGGCGGGGGGGGGTGGGGGGCTAAATTGTTGCTTCGCCCAATTATTTCGGCCCAGGTCGTTGATAGAATCCATAAGCGGGGATTCAGCCATCCGCGAGTGGAACCTACGAGCTCGATCCGCGACGAGTCCGGAGGCCCTGGCAGCGGAGAGTTGGGGCTGCGCTGGGAGAGGACTCGATATAGGTCGTCCATGGAGCCGATCGGCCTGGAGCCGTCGAGCTTTGACCATGGCCCCCAAAGAAAACCTTCCTTTTGACGAGACCGCAACGGGTCCAAACATTTTGACCTGCCAGATTCTCAGGCCCGCCCCCGCCCATCTCAGCAGTTCACTGGTCATCCGCGGCCACCAGCAAGTCCCCCGGCTGAATTCCAGCTCGTTGCGCTGGCCCTGCGCAGCGTGCACAGAATTCCAGCTTGTCGAAGTCGCGGAAAAATCCCCCTCAAGCCCATGGTTCGTTCGACATGTGGCGCTGAAGCGCCTTCCCTCCGACTCCCCCGGCTGTTAAACCTTTTCGGCTCCTGCTGGGTCCAGGCCGCCAACCTGCACGGCGGTGGGAAGCAGACCATATCCTCAGTCACCGAGTCAACGACAGGCTCAACACTTCGCCTTCAGAAAAAAATAAAATAAAAAAAAAGGCGCCCTCAAAAAAGTTACAACCCTACTGGAAGGTGGGGGGGAGGACTAGGACACATGTCCCACTCTGAACTCTGACCACCCCCCGCTACAGGGACCGGGGCAGGCACTCTGCTGCAGCTCCCGGTGAAGGGCTCGAGAGCCACCTGGGCATCTTTCATCCTGTGCTGAGAACTGTCCCCAAATGGCCAATGACCATGCCTGCTTCCTACAAGTGACCAGTTCTTTTGGCCATGGCACAAGTTCCGAGACTAGCTTAAGTCCAAAGACGGCTTCTTTGCAAGGTTTGTCGTCTTGCTGCCGAGCCAGTGCCTTGCTAAAACCACCGTCCGGCTCTTGCCGAGAGAGCGGCCCATGATGCCGAAGTACCCGCGCCTCACGCGGCCAAACCTGCAGCCAAACGCGGCCAACAGCGGTCACAAAAGCTCCGCCAGGCAGCTCCGCCCGGGGCGTGGACTGCATCAGCTGCGAAACGACCTTGGTCCGCGGACATACAAACACCGCCCTGGGAAACCGGCCGGACGGAAAGCCGGCGCTTCCCCGCCGGCCTCTTGGGTCGGACGGGGCTCGGTTTGTTTTCTTTTTTCTTCGCATGTGAGGCTGCTCCAAGGGGACCGGGGCTCAGATCCAAGCAGGTCTTGCTTCCCTTGCAGACATTTGCCTACATATACAAATGTACATATATGTATATATATATATATCCCTCCCCGGAATACTCAGGTTATTGTTCAATAATTACGAGTTTTGCTGTAAACATGTATGCAAAATGCATCTTCCAGCTTCTGAAAATGATGCTCTAAGAATGCGCTCCGATTTTAGACTTGAATTCTAGCATAGTGCAATCCAGGATTTGCTAGCATGTGCTAGCACATCTTACATTGAAGATTGAAGATCGAAGATTCTCTTACAACTCTTTCCGGGATTCTTCAAATCTGAAAGGCAATCCAGGATGTGCTAGCACATATTAGTTTGTCCTAAGTATGGAATTGAAGATTTCCAGAAAAAGTGGCATGAGAATCTCAAATCTTCAATCTTCAATCCAGCATGTGCTAGCAAGTGCTAGAACATCCGGATTGCCCCAAGTACAGGTGTGAAGAATCCCAGAAACAGTTGTCAGAGAATCTTCAATCTTCAATCCAGGATGTGCTAGAGCATCCTGGATTGCCCAAGTATGAATTTGAAGAATCCAAGACGGCAGACAAGGAGCCAAATTGTGGATGTGCACCGCCTGCATTTGCTAGGGGGGGAAAATGTTGATTGAAAGCTTTGCAGTTGTTTGGGGACTTGAGGGCTGGCCAGGATGGGCGATGCTGAAAAAAAAACTGAGATATCTTCAATCTTCAATGCAGGTGGGAACACCTTAAAGAGTCTGGTATAAACTGTCAAGCTTTTTGGGGTCCAGGATTGAGGATATTCTAGAATCCTGAATATGTGGCCTTCGGTCGAGGGCAACATGATCTGAGCGAATGCCACATGTTGCGGTATTTTCTGCCAATAATAAGATCAATGTTTGGAGGAAAAAAACACTTTTCGGCTTTCGGCTTGGCTCAGTTCTTGCTTGGTTAAAACCACATGAATTTAGATAAGGACAATAACCCTTACGAAATGTAGATTGATTCCTGGAAATCCACAAGAAACTGCAACCGATTCAAGCTGAACTTGGTGTGAACTCGAAGTCACCTTAAATTGGATATCCTTCCCATATTTGAATTTCAATAGTTGTTATTGACGATACTGACATGTATAACACGCAACTGAGACAAGCGCTTTGCACATTTGATTTGTCCACACTTACTTAAAATGTACATGGAATTTTGCACAAACATGAATTAACATGTAAATGCTACTGCGCAAGTACATGAAGCACTTTTATCTTTGATTTGAATGTCAGTTGCAAGTAGGATTGATTTCCTTCCCCCAACTTGATGATTTCGTACTCTTGTGCTAAAAGGTTGTGCTTGTTGAGCTGGGGCTGCCAAAGGCCACTTCGCGACCTCCAATGTGATAAGTGCACGTCGCGCACGCTGTGACTTGCGAGCTGTTTACCAGGAGCTCCTTTTGAACGTTGAGCTAAGCTTCGGCTTGGCTGGACTTTGCGCGGAGTTTCCTGACAATTCAGTTCAGAGTCTCCCCAGCCTGGCCAAAAACCAGAGGTCAGGCCAAACACCTGAGTATTTCAACCTGGGGGTAGAGCATATATTAAATATATATATATATACACACATACGTACATGCACGATGCGTATGCATAGCTTTCTCCACCCAAAGCTATTTCCGGAAGCACCAAACTCCGCTCCCTCGCCTCAGGCACCCCCGCTTTTTCTGCGTGCGGCCAGGCGGCAAAGCTCAGCGTGTTGGAGGGCACTGCGAAGGCCATGCCCTGGGTCCTTCACGCGCGAGCTGGGTGAAGCTGACGCCGCCGTTGGGAGAAACTGGCCCTTTTGAGGCGTGGAAAACGGGGAAGTTGAGGGAGACACCGTTGGGTCACAGCTGAACAGGTTCAACAGGGTGTCATAAATGAAGCAGCCCATGCTTGAAGCAAAGGCACAACGTCAAGGCTTGGTGAAGGGCGCGACAGAGGTTTTGTGGCTTCCTCAAAAACCCTTTGCCACAACATGCAGTTTCTCCTGTGTGCCCTTTTTCATGGAACGGCCGAAACAAACGCCAAGAAATGCGGACAATCCTGAGAAAGACAGCCAGCCCATCACAAATAGACGAGAATTCAGTCTAGAGTCCGTGCTTGTCACGCCCAAACCGATTTACGCCTTGCTGCACGGGGAATCTTGTTCGCGCAGAGGCGCGGAAGGTGGTCTACATCTCAAGAGACCAGCCATGTCAGCATCTGTGCCACGATCGACAGCGAGAGCCATGCTTGTCAGGCAAAAAGAAACAATGGGCCCTACGGTCACGATGGTGAAAGCAGCCCGGTCACGCATGTCCAATGCCCAAATTGTCACAGCACAATTACCGGTGGCGTAAAAAGGGTGCATGATTGAACGCAGGGCATGCGTGTGCGCGCGCTAATCTTGCGTGGGTGCAAATCTGTTGAACTCCAAGCAGTCTAACCTATCTGGATATGTGCCATAAGCCGGAAAGGCTGAAAACGTGCAAATAGCTCCTCACTCTTCCTAGAATTTATCAAAGAATATGTGCTTCCCCCAGAAGGAGCGAGGTCACATCTCCCAGTCCCTGAGATGATGGCCGTGTTCACACCGACCGCCTGGCCGCTTGGAATCCAACTTTCGACCGGAACCGGGCCGTTGCCTTGCAGTTGGAATCCACCAAAGGACCCCCAGAGTTCCCCGGGTTGATGGCAGTGTCCGTCCTCGGCTTCCACTTGCCTTCAACACCCAAGCAAGCAAGATGCACATGGATCAGTAGGCCGCCGGCTGGACGATGTTATCCTGAATGCTTTTGGGCAGGCTTCTGCACGTCAATGCAAACAACAAGCACTCCAAACAAAACAAATTAAATGTTTGCTGGCGTGGGAATGGTCTGTTTCAGCATATGCCTGCCTGGCTCATTTCTCTCACTGAGATAAGCCAGCCCGCATCGCCTTTCCCAAGTCCGAGCTGCTATTAGCCTGCCTGATTGTGACCGCAAAGAGCGGCCCAAGGCGGACACCACCCCCGCGCTGACCGAGGAAGCGAAACCTCAGGTTTTGCCGGCTGCGCCTCTCTGCGCCTCTCACCGCCTCCCACCCTCCCTCTTCCGCGGATGGATAAAAAGCTCCGAAGCGCTGCAACCCTTGGGTGTGGCTCAAAATTTTAAGAGCTGGGGCAAACCGCAGGAATTTTGGCCCATGCGTCCATTTCCCAGGGCAGCCCGTTTTGGGTTCCGTTTTGGTTTTTGAGCCACAGCCCCTCCGAGGGCCCCCGCCCAAAGGGTTGCCAATGGCCACCACTAGCTGGCCCACCCGCAGCTGCGCCGAGTCCCCCAGCTCCACATGCGGCAGAGACCTAGCGATGCATCCCATGGGTCAACCAATCCAACCACTAAAATAGGAAGCCTAAAATGGGCGGTGAATTCACCTACCAACCAAAAATGGGATCCCAAAACGGTTTTGACAACCACAGCCACTATCTGACCTCTGACAATGACATCTCCCATCCCCGCCTCCCCCGCGAAGGGATCCGCAGGATGCCGATGTCTGTGGGGGCGTCCCGGCCCACCAGCTCTGCCTGCAGCAGGCTGTCCTCGAGACAGAACCCATCCGGCCATGTAGGCTACAGCCATCCATACGGAACCTGACTGTAGGGCCTGGAAGGTCCAGCGGAAGATAGGGCATGCTTCCCGCTATGAAGTGACATCTGTTGACACCATGCTGTACGCTCTGTTGTCGCGTTCTGCTACCTCACCTTGCCTTATCGTATTTCATTTTGTAGTGTGACTGTGTACATTGTAAATGAGTCGTTTGGCAATCAACCCTCTTGCCCCACAGCATCTCAAGGTTCAGTGAACACTGAGAAATCGTGAAAAGTGAGGATGAAAAGCTAGAAGGCGCTGATGCTTGCCAGTACACTAATGCATTGCCTGCGCCAGTTCAAAAGAAAGGTCGCTTGCTCATCCTAACTGATGATATGCATGCACCATCAGCGTGATTAGTATGTTGTGACCCTCGGAGAACCCTTCTAGATCTCAAACATGCCATATTGAACTGTTGTTTGCTTTGTCTTCAGCTCCATTGTACAGCGGAAGAACCTCTCAAGCATCTCCATCACATGTGCATGTTCCAAATCAAAGCTTGGTCAAGTATCGACGAGCCCTAAAATCACTCTGCAAACATACCCACCTTTCATGGTGCTGGAAAACCCCGAAGGCTCAAAGGCTGCACATTGTCAGAACTGATCACTCGGGCTGTGGCATCCGTCAGAGAGACCATGATGTCCGACGCATTCGCATCTCCCAACCTCATGCTGAGGGAAAGCCACTGACGCAAAGAGCGGCCATTGACACAGGCGGCTGGCCCAACATTAGGTACTTGGTTGCAACACCATTGGTGCGCAGCTGTTTGATTGACGCCCTAAGGAGCAAGCACGTGGTCGTTCGTGACGATGTAGCCATCAGAGCTGAAGATAAAGCCGCTGCCCTGTCTGAGCCGCGAATGTCATAGCCTTCCCTTCACTTTTTGAGATTCAAGAATGGTCACCATTTCAAACAGGCGGGAAGACTGAGTTGTCAAACGTGACCACCAGCCCCTCTCACACCAAAGCCGGGGGGGATGTTTGTTTGCCGGCCTGTCCACGGCCATCTTTATGCTTGACCGCCACCACCGCGGGACCCACTGTGTCAACCACGTTGGTGACCTTGCGAGGCACATCTCAGCGGTCGGAGTGCACATTCGAGCAAGCGTACAACTTCTTTCTGGGAATTTCTCCGAATTGAGAAGGGGGTTGTGGCGCTGGAAAGAACCCATCAGAGACCCTCCTAATTTCGAGACTCACATATGGGCCGCTTGGGCCGCGGCAACTCGAGAATATGCCTCGGCTGCGCTCTCCAAAGCCCACGGACTCCAAACTGCGGTCTGAAAGCGGCCACAGCCAAGCGGCATCCAATGCCTCGGTGGAGAGCCACCTGGCAGAAAGGTCGCAGCAGCGGCGCCGGAATCAGCAGCCAGCCTGCGCGCTGCAGGTCCAGCGGTGCGGCATGCTGTACAAATCGACCTGGCGTGACAGCATCGGTCATTGCACGAGCTCGCTTTGTGATTCGCTTGTTTGCCTGATGACATTATTCCACCTTCCGCGAGCGAGCCCTTCCGCCAAGCTTCCGCGGCGTGAACCGTTGCTTCCGCGGACGGTCGCTTTACATAAAGCTTCTTCGAAGCCTCCGCGAGGGAAACTCTTACGCAAACCAATTTGCAAGAATGATGTCCACCCGTTTACTTACTACATGTCCCCGGAAAAGAATAATCAAAACGAAGCTCGCGTGGCATCTAACAGCTGCCCATTACGCAACTAAACGCCCAGTGAAAGCAACAGGTTCCCATGTACAGCTGCTGATAGGCTAATCTCATGGTGAGTCAAAAGTAGGACGCCTCTGATGTCCTTTCAGAGTGGACCCAAAAGCGAGTCCCAGCTTCGCCCCACCTCATGGCCAAGCGCGCCCGTGCCCGCTGGAGCCCGGTCCGGTGGCCCTTGTCCCTATCCGCATGCAGTTCCGCACCCGCCGAGAAGGCGGTACGGAAACCAACCAGAAACAGGGAGGTTGCCGGTGTTGTCGGCTTTGGAATGAATACATTTACAAGGAAACCAACCAAAACACTCTCCGTTTTACAAGGAAACCAACCAAAACACTCTCCGGTTCGCCTTGTTGACAATGCGAAACTCTGTCCCATTGGGCTGATGTAAAATTGGGAAGATTGACCTTTCGGCAACCTGTCGGAACCTACCTGCCCTTGCTGAATGCATGTTGCCTTGATAAATGCATAAGGGAGTTGAAGAAAGCATTGACGCACTTTTGTGGCACGGTGTGGCATCTCTCTCTCTTCCATAACATAGGGCTGCTTCACCAGCTGGTTATCCTTCCATCCTGCTCCAAGCCATGCCTGGCGCCGGTTCCGGTCCAGCTGGCTCTGGTGGTGCAGCCGCTTCCACTGCCCTAGATGCTGGTTCTGGTGGTTCTGGATTGCCGCCGATGCTTGCTGCTTTCTGCCGAGAGTTGCCACACATGGCCCGATGGTCATTGGTTGATCAAAATGCCGAAGATGTCGTCAGTGAATCATCTTCGGACTTGCTAGAAAAGGCTGTTCACCCAAGGGCAAAGCAGCGGAGTATCCATGCCTGTACATATTGACTATGTAAAAATGTTTGAGGTGCATACAAATGGCAAATTCGCCAAATGGCTGTGGGCGGTTCGTGGTGAACCTCCCCGGGATGCTTATACTAACTCGCCGCGGCTCCTCTCCAGTGCGCCAACGCATCCGTCTCCTTCCGCTCGGGGAGGCTCGGCACGGCGCCGTAGCGGGACACGGTGATGGCCCCGGCGGCGGCCGCGAACTTCAAGCACTCCTCCAGCGGCTTGCCCTCCTGCAAAGGGAAAACAACACTTCAGAGGCTGAGATGGGGCAAGCATAGGCTTATCTGCCAGTCACAGTGCCCGGCTTGCGGAGTTGCTAGTGATTGCGAAACGAATCGAAATCCGGGCGGGGTCAACGCATGGCATGTCGACCCCGCAAGCCCAACCCGCCCCCTCCACCATTGCCACGGCGAAGGCTGCCCGGAAGCAGTCCCCAGCACCAGTGGTGTCCACCACTTTGCCCCCAGGCACTGCAATGCCAGGCTGCCGCAACACGGAGCCATCCGGGCCCACTAGCACCGCGCCGTCCGCGCCTGACAACCACATCAACGTGTGCCTCCCTCCAAAACGTGCTTTGACACGCTTCGGCCACTTGATTCTTTGGAACTTGCCTGGGGGCAGGGAAACTGTGATACATCGCCAATCAATTATGAGACCCTCTGACAGCTGGCGCAATTGGCATATCCATTCGGAAGCCTTTCACGAGGCCCTGGCCTAGGGTGCAAAGCACGTTCTTCACGCCCCGCTTCTGGAGGCTCTTGGCCGCTGCTACCACCTGTCCGGAGCCGTGAATAAACTGCGACCGAAACGTGACATTTTTTTTGGGTTGACCTCAAGCCAAAAGGAGTTCACCAAAACTGGGTACGGGATCCAGTGCTGCGTGCGTGGAAGTGAAGAGAGGCGCAAAGGGTTGCAGCCACGTTCAGCCTTCAGGATTCTGGATTTGAGCGTCGTGCGTGAGTTTAGGGTTAAGGCTTAGGACTTGCGGAGTTTGGTTTTGGGAGGGTCCTTTGGCTTCGACTTCAATTTAGGGTTTAGGAACTTCATCAGTTGAGGCTCTTGAGGTGTTTCGGCCAGGAACTCAAAGCCGCCGCCACATGGCTCTGCTTGGGGCGGGAGACTTTATGTAGGAATCTTGCACATCCCATCTTGCAGCACAGCTCGAGCTCAAATCATGGACTGGGCTCTTGGTCCAAAAGCAGTTTGGCTCTCGGTTCAACCACTCGAGAGCCATTCTCCTTGACCTGTCACGGGCTGCGCCCCTCGCCTCTTCTTGGGTGCTGGTGGGCATGCCTGTGAGTCGCTCAAGCTCCGTCTCGTTTGGGCAAATGTAGGTCAGCCTGGCAGACGATTGGGGGTGAGTACCATGCCTCTGGATTGAGGTTAGGATTGAACCTGGTCGACCAAAAGGAGTCAGTGCAAAGGGAATTTGAGGCTGAACAAAGACAGGGAGGGAGAAGATAGAAAGAGAGAAAGAAAGCAAGCAAGCAAGCAAGCAAGCAAGCAAGCAAGCAAGCAAGCAAGCAAGCAAGCAAGCAAGCAAGCAAGCAAGCAAGCAAGCAAGCAAGCAAGCAAGCAAGCAAGCAAGCAAGCAAGCAAGCAAGCAAGCAAGCAAGCAAGCAAGCAAGCAAGCAAGCAAGCAAGCAAGCAAGCAAGCAAGCAAGCAAGCAAGCAAGCAAGCAAGCAAGCAAGCAATGATGAAAGAAAGAATGCAAAAAAGAAAGAAAGAAAGAAAGAAAGAAAGAAAGAAAGAAAGAAAGAAAGAAAGAAAGGAATGAGGGAAGACTGCAAAAAGGAAGAAAGGAAGAAAGGAAGAAAGGAAGGAAGCAAGGAAGAAAGGAAGAAAGGAAGAAAGGAAGAAAGGAAGAAAGGAAGAAAGGAAGAAAGGAAGAAAGGAAAAAAGGAAGAAAGGAAGAAAGGAAGAAAGGAAGAAAGGAACAAAGGAACAACGGAAGAAAGGAACAAAGAAAGAAAGGAAGAAAGGAAGCACGGAAGAAAGGAACAAAGGAAACAAAGAATGCAGGCAAAACAAGCAAGAAACCAAACGAGTCAGCAAACGAACGAAAGATTGAAAGAATGAAAGAATACAAGGGAAACAATAAAATACCGAACGAGCGAAGGAAAGGAATGCATGATGAAAACATGAAAGAAAGGCAAGAATCGGAAGAAAGACGGAAACAGGAAGCTAACATGCGCCCCTACTAAGACACAACGATAGGATCTCTGCCCCACCTTCCCAAATTCGCTCGAAAGATACCGGCTGGGTCTGGCAAAAGGTGCCTCAAGCCGGTGGATAGTTCGGCAGTTTCGCAGACATGGGCTCGGTTCTCTCAAACTCTTTCAGGCGATTGCTCTGCATGGATCCGAAGATGCACGCTCGCAGCTCACATGTGAAAGACCCGTCCCTGCCTCTTCAGATGGGCGTCAGAGAAGTCTCGCTCCTCTCCCCCGACATCCTAAGTCCAAAGCGCTATGAAGCAGTTACCAGCAGAATTGTTTCGGAATCATCTCACGACCCTTCCTTGCAAACAATCGAGGCTGGTTCAAAAGGAAACGGCCCCATTTTTGGATCAACAAGGGTCCCAAAAAGAAAAGCAACCTTTTTTGAACACCCAATGATCGAAGGCGACGTTTGCAAACCACGGCCTGGATGACTGGCACGCCGGCCTTGACAGCCACCTCCGATACCGCCTCGTGCAATCTCCGCAGGCGACAAATGGGCCCAAGCATGTGCCACAAGCTTGAAACACCGGAGGAGACCGAACGAGCTGCAGCGCACACCCTCGCAAGCATCTTAGATAGTGGTACATTACTTGATAGGTAGATGTCAAAATTTGGCGACAAAACACCAGAAAAAACACAAAGCAAGCTGGCAACGAGAGCATGAGGTGCCATCCGGCAGTTCCAGCACTTTCGCATCTATCCTCCCCTGGCTTCAACGAGTACGCCTCGTTCACGTACTCCGGGATCTCCCGCTGCAGCAGCACTGCGCTGGCACCGCGGATCTGCTGCGCGAAGGCATTCACATCCTTGGGCCATGCCACGTTGGAGCCTCCCACGATGAGGATGGAGTTGGACCCGTCCTGCAAAGACTCAACGACTCTCCGTGCTCCAAAACAATGCCTGGGGCATGCTGATGCTGCGACTGACCTCTGCTCCTCACGCGCCACACGAACCGCTAACACCGGCAAAGCCTGCCCCTCACGGCCTGCAACGAACCAACAAGCCAGACATAGCCTCCGATGGGCTGAGTCGGGCCTCTTCCAGGAAGATGAAGGCCTGGCCGGAAGGCTTGTTGCTGCGTCCGCAGTTGCCGATGTCCACCTCCTTCTCCCGCAGCACCTACAGCCGATCCATCGGATACCCCGGCACGGACACGGTCCCGACCTCCCAAACAAAGGGGAAGCGCCAGTCGAGAAAGTCAAGAGCATGGTTTTTGTGCGATTCTGAGCAAAATGTGTTTCTGGCGTTCTCAAGCAACTACCATCACCTTCCGTCTTCTTGCAGGCAATCAAGATTGGATAGCTAAGTAGGAGGCGGTGAACATGTACAGTACCGAGTCCATTCTGGCTGACACTTGTTGATTGCCCCTGCGATGTTCCACCATTCTGTCCTTGCGGTGTTCTTTTTTGTCTTGTCCTTCAAACCATCAGCTCTAGGCTAGCAAACAAAAACTTCGGCCGGCCATGGCTCATGTTTGCGAGCGTAACGGACACCCGCTACCTTGATAGCTACCTAAATCTCTGGCCTGTTCCAGCTTGAAGGCATGGGAGTCGTTCCCAAACTGGCACACAAACTTCGCCTGCCGGCCCGTGCCCGCACTCAGGCGGGCTGCAGCCACAGCCTGGCAGTGTGCCCAAGGTGGGCAATTTCTGCATCAAACACAGCCGCCCCAATGCTGTTGGCTGCCTTCCGGTTTGATGTCCACAGTTTCCAAGACCAAACCTGGCCAGCACGACCACCTTTGAGACGAGCCAGGCAAAGTCTACTCACCCCAGCATTAGATTCTGAAATCCACTATGCTTTAGTTGGCCTTTAGATGGGCAACACATAACAACCACGTTGAACGTCTTTGGGCGTCTTCGGTGATTTGTCACGATTGAGTCACAGTCAATATGATGTACACGCGCAACACTCTGACCAACAGTCACTGAGCGAAGTGTGATGTCAAAATCTGAGCCATCGGGAGTCAAACCATGGCTCAACACCACGGTCCGGGTCAACCACCTGTTTGTCCTCTAATTGTCATACCATCTGCATTTGTTTTACAATAATTCCAAAAAACTGAATTAAGAATCGGATCCCCAAGTGAAGGACCTTTATCATGGTGAGCTCGTTTTGAGCTCGCCATACAATAAGCAGATACCATGCGCTTGCCTTGCGGCACTCATTTGCCAACTTCGGGCCTGGTTGGCGCCCTTGCCACCAGGGACCATGATGCCCGTGTCGGGGCTGCGCGCACTCAAGGTCTCCCCCTTCCTAAGCCCGGGCCATATGTTTTAAATGGAACCGCTGCACCACATGTCCCAAGCAAGAAGGAACATGTCTGAATCTCAGCCTCAATCAGCCCAACCGAAACAAGCTATGACATGATCCAAGAGCAATTGCAAGGAGCCTGCAGCCAAGCCGCTTCGGAAACCGATTGATCTCAATGATGATGTCCGCGTTTAGAGATCCGCACACCAGCAGCGGCTTCTGCTCGCAGGCCAAACTCTTGCGGCCCGTGTAGGTGTAGCTCACCACGCCCTGAGCCCCGGCGCCCAAAAAGGGAAAGACGACTCGAAAGGCAGAACGGGTGCAGCGACCGCATGCGTAGCCAAAATAGCTATGGGTCAAAACCCCGTACCCCCAGTGAACATCCCAATCACCACTAAAATCGACTAAAATGGGTGGTGCACCTACCCCAAAATGGTACCATTGATTTTGACCCACAGCCAAAATGACGCACGAAGCGAGCCCAACTTTGAATGGCCAACTAGGCCAGCTGCTGCCGCCGCAGTAGCCGCCGCCGCCCACGGCAGCCACCGGTGGCCGCTCCCCGCCAGCTGCGGCTGCATCGTGGCGAAGCGCCGGGAGAGGCGAGGCAGCATCGTGGTCGACGAGGTTTGGCAAAGAGGGGTTAGCATTGGCAAAGAATGCTGCGGGGAGGATTCAGACCATCTTCTGGAGCATTACATCCAGAGGCAAAGTAATCTACACCCTTTAGTGCAGCCCAAACTGAAGGTTCTGGTCAAGCACAAACATCTCCGCAACTCTTCTGGACTACATTCTTGCGCACACACAAGCAACAAACGGCCCCCCTTTTCCCAGAAAAGCCAATTGGCAAATCTGGTATTGGCCTTGCAGATTGCATCGCCTGAGCGGTCTGCGACCAATTTTGACTGGCAAATGCCTCGTGCATCGTGCTTCCTCCGAATCCAAGAGTATTCAACATGAACATTCAATTTAGAGCAGACTGCGATGCACCGCGTGCGAGAGGTCAAAAGCATCCAGGAAAAAACTGACCGCGACTTGCAGGGAGAGGGCAGGACACTTGGTGACAAAACGCTCTGCAACTTTCCCGTGTCCTAACCTTCTCTGGACCCCTTGCCCACCTGTTGAGGCTGGCAGAGGCCGGGTGAAACAAGCCCGCAGAATGTGGCGCTGCATAAGTCCCGCGCCTTATTCTTGCTGCGCCGGCAATCACCAGCGAAAGGCTTTTTGCATACACAGTGCTTGTTTGCAGAGTTCCAGCGGCCCCACAGTCAATATCTGTTTTCTGGTGTCCACTGTCACTCAGATACAAAGTCCCCTGTGCATGGAACTCTCAATGCAGGCAGGCACCACACCAAATAATTAGCGCCCTTTGCGGTTGCTGAGAAGCTGGGGCGCCAAGTTTATGAAGCTCTGAGAAAGGTGGGGACAGGTGTCTTGAAACGCGTAGGGGCAACACACAGTTCAACCTGCCAGTCTGCCGTAAGCAGTGCGCAGGAAGGCCCCTCAGAAGTGCATGCGGTCGGACTTCACGCCAGAGACCTCCGGACCGCTTCCCCAAAAGAATTCCGGTACGAGCAGTGCATTGAAATTCAGAGTCCCAATCAAGACCTGGGCAAAATCATGTTCCAGGGCCAGAAATGCTTCCAGTGGAAAGAAACTGAGATGGATTTATTCATATTCGCATGGCTCAAAATATCCTTGCGGCTCCCCAAAAACCAGGGGCACTAAGCCAGAGCATGTGCAACCGAAACTGGTCTTAAGAGTGACGTTCCAAATACCCCGCCTCGCTCATTGCGAAGCTTTGGGACTCTGGCAACGCCTTGCAAGCACTCTCCACACGACGCACATGACGGCAACTCTTCGTGCCACGAGTAATGAACGGGACTTGAGCGTTTTCGAGTCCCTGAGAACGTTTCAAACGCAAATCCATGGTACATAGGGAACCGGGATTCCGTTGAAACTCAATTGGTCTCTTTCGCTCCTGCAAGTCCCTTCTTGCTGAAGGGCCAACTTCCATGTCTTGAATGGCGGGAGTGAAGTTACCTTGGCCTGCCACTCCCTTGTCACTGGTCTGCCCTTGTGATAGAAGTCATGCCTGTGTCAAAGCATTCCCATGGGATAGAAACCCCCGGGAATGCACTGGAAAAAAAGATTGCACATTTAGTATTTAGTAGGAGTTCAAAAGCAAAACCTACTAATATCTATATATATATATACAAAGTGCGCGGGAATTTCATTGCCCCATAAATCGGAAGAAGTTAACGCGCCCTGCAAACCATTCACCCAGTTGTCTCCCCAGCCTCATCCCCTGGAGCGCTCGCAGCCTGGTTCTCAAGTCAAGCCAAGCAGGCGGCTGTTTCTTTATAAAAATCATCTCCGCTTGGTGCCCCCGTAGATCTGAGTCATGCAGGTGAGATAACTGTCCCCGTCAGTAGCCTGAAGGTCACCTCACAGTTGATTGATCAAATGGGAGGATCTTCACGATCTTGCAAAGAAAAAGAAGTGACGTTCCCCTACCTCCCGTCCCTTGCCTGGCCTGTGTGCCAAATTGAAGGCCGCTGCTCTTTGGCGTGGCGTGGAAGAGGATACGGTACTGGCACACCCAGGCCACATGGCAATGTGTCAACATGTTGTTCCCTCCCTCACCAGTGGTACTTACAAGCAATCAACAACCGGCATCGCCTCCCACCACCAATCTGTTGTTAGGACACGAGCGACGTACAAACAAATAGACGGATGGGTGGATGAAGATAGACAAATGAATAGGTAGATACTGAATGTGGCAGATGCGGGGATGAACGGGATAAATAGATAGGCAGAATACACCAATAGACACGCCTGGGTGGCTTTGGGCAAAAAAATCCTGCATTTGGGTCTGTGGCTTCCGTCGGGTGTTGTTCTTAGGGGGACCTTTATTGGAAATTGGGAAAAAGAGATTGCACATGCTTCCATGATACCATCCCTCGCATATGACATCCCATGGAACCGTGAATGTTGACCACTGGCGCCGGAGCCGGAAGCAGCCCGCGCCTCCTGACCCGGGGCCTCCGTAGTGTCCTGACCAGAAGTCATCTTCGGTTTCCAAAACGGTTTGGCGCTTCCCCCAAGCAATTGCATAACAAAGACACGGCAGCCATGCAGCTTGCGCTTCCACCTCACGCAGAGCACCTCTGAATCGCTTAGGCCCTTCCCCGTCGGCACACGAAAGGCGCAAGAAGCCCAGCGGTGGAAGAATCCCGACTTGCCGCTTCCCCCGCCTCAATGAAACCTACGAAGGTCGAGTCTTCAGAGCTGAGATCTGAGAAAGCCTGGCTGCGGCCAGTGAACTGAACCGGACCATCAGCCGTCAATTTGACTGAACTCGCAAAGGCCCTGCGCAACCGAGAATTTTCTCCACGCAGAAGAGATAGATGGGACAGAAAGAAGCCACCCTGAACCAGAATGAAAATCAGCGCACGAGCCACGTTCCACAAAAAGAACAGAACGGATGATGCAACTCAGCTCGCGGAACATCGACGCGCATTGGGTGCGGCAACACAAAAATGGCCAAGTCACTTTGCAGGTCCCATCTTCAAAGGCTCTCAGAGATGTGACTTGCTGTTTCTGGGATAAGGCTGGCCAGCTAGAAGCCAGCCCAAGACCGCGCGCACCCGATGTTCAGCAATGGCCCTCGCCTGGCAAGGCAGTTACATTAGGACCATGTATTTAGAGTGGCCAACAACTCCCAAAAGAAAGCTTACACCTATTGTTTGTACAAACAAAATCTAAGCATGGTCTAACATCCAGCGACAAAAACATCACACCCATCAATCGAGACCAGCACTAGAAAGAAAGACTTGTCACGCATGCGCCTTCATCAGTTTTCTCTGGCATGCCTTCTCTCTTCATCAGTTTTCTCAGAGCAAACAACTCACAAGGGCAAGCAGAGTCCTGCAACTGCACGTCCACGGGGCCATCTGAAGTCGCAGCCTCAATCGACATCGAACACCTGGACTCGGCCAATTTCACGAAATCAGCTCCTTGAGTCATGGAGCAAATTAAAAAAAAAAAAAATCTTGCGTGCCTCCTTGCTTTCCCACCAGAAAGTGGACCAGCATGGAAACACAATCTGTGCATCCAACTTGTTGTCTCAGAAAGCACTCACAATGCCAAGCCTGCGCTTCTCCATTGCACTCCCACGCAATCAGGATCATCTTGCCACAGATTACATCGACCGGTGACCTGCACCAAACGCAGGCCCCTGGCTGTTGCAGTCGACACCGCCTTGTCCTCGTAGCCTGGTGCAGCTTGGAAAGTCATTAGGAGTTCAGGCTCTTTAGTGCGAGCCTGTTGACTCATTCATTCAACTGTCTTCGGGGGGGTCGATCGGCTTTAACAACGTGGTCGGATTAGCATCACGCACTTCACAACTGTAGGTTCATGGGAAAGCATTGACTATAGCCTGTGTGGGAAGAACTCAGTGGAAGATTTGGCAATGATGCTAGCAGCGAATGCAAATACCTGATCGTTCCAAAGATAAAGGAGCCAAACCTGCGAGCAGAGTGCAGCGGTCTACACACCCCACATGTCAAGTGCAGCAGCTTTTCTGTCGTCTGCATCACCCCTAAGCGCTCGGCCATGCTTCTCGGAGGGGATATTGGCTGGCGAAGGTTCCTGGAGACCAAAGCTCAACTCGAGACAAAAAACAAAACTAAAAACCCAACAACAACAAGGAGAGAGAGAGAAGAAGAAAAACAGGGGAAAAAAAAAGAAAGAAAGAAAAAGGAAAAAAAACGAGGCCAGCCGCCTCGCGGACCTCACCGAACTCGGGCTCACGGTCACCCAAGGTGGATTCCCTGGTGGACTCCACGAACCTCAGCGCGGAAGGAATCTTGCGGAAGACTCCCCGAAAAAAAAAATGTGCAGAGTTGGCACAACTGATCCGCCAGGTTGAGTCATGAGGCGTTCCGGAAAAGCTTGACATCTGAAGCAGGGATCTGAAAAGCACGGCCCCTTGAAGAAGACTCAAGGCGTGACCTGTAATGGGCCTGGTTTCACATCACAAGGGCTTAAAAGGAGTCCGTAACAGCTGCCCTCACGGATATGAGGCAATAGGCAGAGAACCAACTCTGCGCCCCAAAAAAAAACAAATCTCGCAGATACCAAATGCTGAGGTTCTGCGCTGAGAGCCCGGCCCACTGGCGCCGGAGCCATGTGCGGACTGCGCACCGCTCCTGGAGCTCTTTGCGCCCAGGATTCGATCGGCGACTCAAGTCGATCGGCGACGGAATGAATGTGCCTGTCTGGCACATCGATTCAAACCCTCTTGTCACCCTCTGGCCATTCGGCCATTCGGAGTTCGCAAAAGGCGATGAAAACAAGCATTGACTGAACTTCACAACCAAGCAAGTTCCTCGCAAGGCCTCAATTGCTTTCCGCTCGCCTGTTGCAAAGGCGACTCCATTGTGCGACTCTCGATGAAGTCTTGCGAGCCACCGTCACTTGACAAACAGGCTTGTTTTGTGCCATATTCCAGGCAAGACAACAAAAAACAAAAAAAGAAAAAGAAAAGGAAAAAAACGAAGCCGCGAGCCCGGGCCAAGCCAATGTGTATTCTTTTGGCCAAGCCGCCCTCGGCTGGGCGGCGGCTGCTCCACTGCCTCCGTGTGGTCCTTCGAGGCCAGAGGCTGGAAGCAAATAGAAGAGCCACTACATTTAGAGCGGCTCAGGGTGACAAAAACAACAAAAAATAAAGGCTGTGTCTCTATGCTTTTTGAGCCCCCCAAATAAAAAGTGTCAAAAGGAGTTTGCCAAATTTGGGTGGAGCTCCCCTCACGTTTGAGCGCATGCTGCATCTACATCTACTCAGAATCTCTCGAAGCAGATCGCCACAGATTCTCACCCCTGGCTAGGGCAGGCACGGGTTGGGATTACTTGGGTGGAGGACTCCTTGCCGCATCCTCCTAGATTGTCTCACATCTCTTCCAGTGGTCCCGTTGTTCCTGGTCCACCTCAAGAAAATGACATTTCAGCTTCCATTCTATGTGCCTCGCGCGCCAATCCGACAAAACACAGGTTTCCTTTGCCGTTGGAGTCACATCAAATGGCTCAACCTTAGAACTTCGACAATGGCTGTCCTAACGTACCAGCTCACTTCTACCTCGATTGAACTGTGGACCTGTGGGATCCGTCCCAAGAAACCAATGTCAGTAGGCTCCGCTGCCATACTGTGCCATCCGGTGCCTTCTGCGGATCAGGAGCAGGCCAGGCACCTATCTCCTCCCTGGCGTGGATCGGTGGCAAGCAGCACATCCCCTTTTAGAGACACGCAAAGAGAACCTCGACAAGCGTCTGGCCAGCATGAAAGGTGGCATACTGCTAGTGTCCTTGAAGTGGTGCCTTGCATTGGGGACTAGCTGGTCTTCCTCTGCTTCTTTGTAATGCCAAAAAGCGGAATTAGCAACAGACAAACAAGGACAAACAAGCAAAATCCTTAAACCAAGCAGGAAATCCAAGAAAATCCAAACAGAAGTCCCGCAAGAGCTGCACCTTTGCCTTTCTGAGTTACCTGAAACCCATGCTGTTAGTCCCAACTTCTCTGCGAAACAGGTAGGAGCCACCGCGGACTCAGTCGAGGTGTCAGACCTGCCCGGTTGTGTAGGCCTTGGTACAAGTATCTTCGCACTTTCAGAGCAGTGCGTGGTGGTGCGTTCAACCTGGACCACAAAGACCTGAACATGTCCGGTTTTGAAAGGAGTCTGATCGAAATATAGATGCAAGTCCACAGGCTCCCTTTGGCAAAGCAAATTGTTGGAAACGGAGCTCCGGGCTCCGGGCTTAGTTGCGTTCGCGAAGGTGGAGACAAAGACCTGGCATCCAAATAGCTGTCCCGGCTCAGCTCAGGTTGCACAACCTCGCAGTCCCTCCATCCCTTCGCCTCTCGTGGTCGAAGGGCATGCCCCCATGGAGCCTCCTGAGCAGCCCGCGCCAGCCCGCGCCGCGTTTTATGGGAAAATGACAACTGCAACCAGAGAAGAACACACTGAACAACGCTTGGAGGTGCGGGGAACCGTCAACCCCAAGAGCTCCATGCCAGCCCAGCCTCGCCATGGCCGCAAGGCCTTCAGCAGACTCCGGGCCTGGGAAGCAGCCAAGCGCCCAGTTGAAAAAAAGGAGAAGAAAAAAGTGCAAAAGTGAAAAGAAAAAAAAACTTTTCTTTGTCTCTTTCTTCCGAAAGTCCAGGCCACGCTGTGCTACAAGACTTTGGTTCACGTCAGGACACCGCGAACAAACTGGAAGTGCTGAGCTTGGGTGTTGGCCGAAGTGATTCGTTAAAGCATCAAGCAAACGCAGTGCCCCACCCTGCAATCGAAGTGAGTCGCACGAAGCAGATCTTTCACCTGCCTTGCCCTCTCATGGACAGCCCACGAGCACCACTGTGTTTTTTGTCTTTCGATATCCAATTGCATTTTTCCATCAGCTGTCTTGCCATTGGCGAGCATGTATCTTCTAAGGAGACTCGGAAAAGAGACAAGCCCCGACGCCACCTTTGGTAAGAGAACAGCTGAACATGCGAATGAGGACTTAAGCCGTCTTTACACAGGACGTTGTGAGATTCTTGTTTTTCAGAGGCCCTCTCTCCCGCTCCTATTGTTCTGCAGGTGTGTAACAAGAGCCATGAATTGTCTCAGACCCTTGGGGTTGCCATGGCTCCATGGGACAAATCCAGGCCTTCTCGACCTCTCGGGCTTTGCTGCCTGCGATTTGCCTGCAAAGGGCACCGCGTACGCTTGCCGCCATCAAACGAGCCCTCCAGATTTAACGCCGAATTTTGTCAGCCATTGATTGTTGCTCGGCCATGCACGTATCGTCTCCACTTACAATACACTTCAGCTGTCGCCGCAGCGTTCAACACGGCTTCCCGACCATTGAACCCCTCGCCTGGCAACAGGCCAGCCCCGGAGATTGAAACCACTCGCACTTCGCTCGACGCGCACACAGCTGACGCAGTGTGGCGGAGACTGAAACCAAAACAGCCGATTGAAATCTTAGATTGCCCACTCTCAATCTAAAGCGTGGCCTCCGTGAGAAGCACAGAGGATGCCTGCAGCCGCCAAAGCTCTACCTGACAGGATGGAAAAACAAAAAAAAACATTGCAACTCAGGCATCGCATTGCTTTTTTGGTTGATCGTTTTTAGCAACTGGGATCCAATGGTCCAATGTCCCCTTTCAACTTGTTGCCCTCTCAATGTGTGTGTTTGAGCACGTGGGTAAATTGATTGCATACCCCGAGCTATGTCGTGGCATACCACCACTTTGGGTTCAATATTTGGACATGCCGCTGTGTACAGCATACGGCGTTTGCCGGTTGATCAGGGGTCATCGGCTTTACAATTCATGCTTCAGCTGGGTTGCGATGCGACTCGATGCCCGAAACAGTGGAAACAGTGGTTATCATCATCCTCTGCTTGCGCTACTTGCAATGCCAGGGATGCTATGATGATAGTTATCACCGGAGTCATTGTTGTCATAATTGTCATCATCATCGAGCATATCATCCCACTTGCAATGCAAGGGATGCTATCACTATCCTTGTCAGTCATGATTGTTTCTTTCTTATCTTTCTTATCTTTCTTAGCTTTCTTAGCTTTCTTCTGTATATATAAGAACATATTTTAAGTGTCACGGTGGACCCGACTTGCAATGCAAGGGATGCTATGATGATAGTCATCATCAAAGTGGTCGTCATCGTGGTTGTCATCATCGTTCGCTGCCGAACAATTCGAGAAGTGATTCGGTCACACCTAAACCCAGTCAAGTTTCCTCCTCACTTCCACATGGGTGGTACCAACACAAGCGAGGGGTCGGTGGCACAGGACGGCAGCCCTTAGATTCGCGGCCGGTGCCTTCCAGTCTATTCCCTGAGTCACACCAGAAACCTCCCCGACTTGTGAGAATCCCCTTGGCCCTGGGCCTGATCCCGTGCCCTCCGGCTCTGGCCCAGCGGTTTGAAGTCGCCTCGTTGGCCAACTCCTTCTCGAGGTTGAAGTTGGCCGCAAACTCCTGGCTCGTCGCCCGAGCTGCGCCAGTCCCCCCGTTCTCTCCCCCCCGCCCATGCAACACATGTATCATTGATAACCCCTTGCATATCCAGAATTAGCCAACAAATGCGGAGGCAGTATATACATGTAGCAAAAGGGAAAGAAAGAAAGCGAAAAAGAGAGAAAGAGAGAGAAAGAGAGAAAAGGAAGAAGGAAGAAGGGAGAAAGAGAGAAACAGAGAACAAAAAGTAGAGACAGGGAGAAAAGGAGAGCCTGCATCAGGAGCATTGCCAGCATCAACTACTCAAAATTGCTCAAAACAGCCACGAAACGACTCATCCCAGCACACCCAAGTTCATTCTTCAATGAAAGCCAGAATAGCTGTCGTGATCAACACCACCTGAGCACTAGCAGCACACAAGACCCGCCACCCCTGCCTGACCGCCCTCCGACAGCACTGCAGAGGCGTTGGCAAAAGCGTTGCCCCTGGGTTGGGCGGACACAAAGAGGACTCGAAACCGCCTGGCAACATCAGTGCCAAGCCAAGGCGAGAAGGTGTCGCCGAGAAATCACTTGGGTTGCTAGACACACGTGTAACTCTGTTCGAGAAGCATCATCAAATTCACATCGAAACACATCCATGGCATCTACCCCGCGCTCGCATTGCACACTGTGAACATAGTAGGAATCGTTGGGCAACCAGGCGATGCAGCATTTCGCCCATCAATGCGATCTGAATTCATGAGCTACATGTCCTCAAGGAAGTGGAGTCAGTGAATACTGGGTGAGTGCACTGGGCGTATTCCAGTGCAAGCGAATCAATGCCATCAAATCATTGCGTGAAGGGATTCAAAGAATGACAAGGAGTTGTCCAGCAGGCTCACAAAACGTTGTCGTGAAGTTCCCGATACATGCCAAAGCTGTGGCAATACTCCGATCCTGAAGCCAGCCCCAACCTGCCATACCCGATCCGGCCTCTCCACGCCGTCCCCATCATCCCTGGCGAGCCAAGCGGAGATTACCCGTTCAGCAACCTAGCCACAGAGGCCTCACATGAACCAATTGGAGGCTTTGCTCATTCCAAGATGATGAGTTTCATCATGAGTGCTACGCCCTCTCGTCGCTCGTGAAGCAAGACAGAAACACCTTTGCAAAAGGCTCTTGGGTCGTTGCATACCTGTCTCGCAAACCCAACACGCTCAGCAAACCTTGTCACAGCAACTCGTCAGCTGATGACCTCCCCCACATTTCTGCCACAACACGCTATCACCTCATCTCCCGTGAGCCCAGCAAACCGAGCCCAATCTGCCAACAGCCCTCTGGCTTCCCAGTCCCACCGCCTTGTCGGAGGGTTGATGCAGTTGGCGCAGCAAGTGGGGTTGCAGGCTGCCACACACCTCACATCTGCAAAAGGGCTGCAGTGACTCGGGTTGACCCTATGTGGAAAGCTTCACGTGGCAAACCTCCGCGCAAGAAGAGTCGCAATGCACGATGCGCCGAAATATATACATATTTGTATATGGAAATGTACGTGCGTATATATATATATATACATATATATCGTTATTTGTTTGTCTATATGTCGATTTATGCTCATATGGATTTCTCTTGTATTTACTTATCTCTATGTAGTTATTAAGTTGTTTGCATGTTCATGTATTTTGCTATTGATCAAATGATGTGTGCATGTCTTTATTGATTTCATTTGTTCAACTATGGATTTACTTGTTTATGTATTTGTTTATCTAGCCAGTCATTCATGTAATAAATTGAGTTTCCTATTTATCTGTATATGTATTGCATCGTATCGTAGTGTATTGTATTGTTTGTAGCATGTGTGTCTGAAGATGCATACATATGCATACATATGCACATGTATATATATATATATATATATGGTTCCTATACATACATGTATGTACGTATATGGCCGATACTATATCCATATCGGCAGACATGCTCGCATCTGTTCAGCTGGTATTTGTTCAAGTATGTCTCTCTCTCTCTCTCTGTCTGTAAATATATACAAATATATACTCTTTGGGTTTGCTCTACTGATTGTTCTTTTCCCTCGACCTACTTCAAGAGTTTGCCACGTGCTCTTAACGTCAGGAGAAGGGAATTTTCACGTGCTTGTGCCCAAGAGCTGGTCATCGAAGATTCAATCATTGAAATGCACCAGAACTGAATCTGTACGTCTCACACTTGTTGACATGGCCGCGCCCGATCAGTTGTTGCTGCGTTGACCCTTGTCTCCATGCAGCACGCCAATATAAACGATGAAAATAAGGTCAGACCTGGCTCACATGTATGGCATACTGTACACGATCGCAATCAGACTTCTTGTTGACTCTGCTTTGCGATATGCTTATCCCAGTTCCTAATGTCAGAGCCTACAAAACGGGAGCCAATCCCTGCGGCTGGTTTCTCACACTTGCCAGCTCACTCCCTTCGCACTGTCAACACGCCACGAGCGACCTGTCCTGACACACCCGGCCTTTGGCTCCGCAAATGTACGCGTTGAGAGTTTATGAGAAGTGGCTAAGTTTAGCCCAGCCAAGCTGGGACCCAGCATAATTGCTGATGCGTCCGCTGATTGCTCTGGCGCCAGGGAGCTAGCACAAGCCATCACAAGTGACTTTGTCAGCATGTGCAGGCATCGGCTGCACAGACGCTGCATGTCGACGCCAGAAGCTTTTGCTCGGAGCTATCTTTGCAAGCAAAAAGGTTCCACCTCGATACCACCGCAACTTAAAGGAAGGACTCAGAAGCAAGTGATGGTGCTGAAACGATGACCCGTCCGCAGGGGCCTCAGGCTCATCGAGGCCGAGCAACCATCGACCTGACTCATCGAGGTGCCGAGGAGCCACCTGGGCCGCGCTCAACGAGCTTAGAATGCCCCTCCTGGGTGCGCAGGCCCATGGAGCCTGAAAACGAAGGGTATTCTACATGCTCATGTCATCAACAAAAAGACATGAATCAGGACCCGTGTGCATTCAAAAGCAAGCAGCTCACATTGCGCATGGGCCTTCTGGTTCCAGCATTCAAGCCCAGCTGCTGGAGTCAGAGTCAGAACTGCTGCTCGTGGTGCTTGCAGTGGAGTCGGAGTTGATCCCCCCCTTCGCAAACGAGACGTGAAGATGCTGCGGGAGTGCCAATGAAATCGCCGTGGACAATTATCCGAGTACTGACTGAAGTTTTGCGGATCGAAATGTCGCACGAGAGCTGCCCAGTCAAGGCTTAAGTTTCACCTTTGCATCCATATAGGGCCAAAGAACTTGTGCCGCCCGCGTTTCCAAATGTCGGTTTTCTTCTACGAAATCTTTGTGGCTATCTTGTGCGGACCGCGTGATCATACTTTCGTTTGAGTGAACAAAGGGCGCTCCTTTCCACAACAAAAAGGGAACTGTGAATGTCTGAGACGGCGAATGGGCATCCTGGTTCCCCAAAACCTCAAGCAACTGGCTGTGACCAAGCCTCCTCCTGCTGCCATTGAGCCAACCAGGCCTGGCAGCTTAAGCGGGAGCAAGCACAAGTGGTGTTCAATGTTCTATTCAGTGCGTATTTCCCTGTCCCAAATTGTGATGTTCATAGTGTTTCTCTGGTTTGATCTTCCTGTCCTGTCCCTTGGTTGTCCTGCAGCGGCCACATTCACCTTTCCAATTGTGTGTGATCATTCGAGACGTGATCCGGAGAAGCTCCTGGATGTGATTCGGGATCCCGGATCCTAAAAAGAGATTCCGAATCCCAAATCACGGAACCCGGATCCGACGCTTGAGTCGGCACCTGGAAAAGGGCTCCTCCAAAGTTCAACTCAAACAGGGAGGCACAAAATGTCTGAGGGTTCAACCCACCAACAAACCAACCAACCAACCAACCAACCAGCCAGCCAGCCAGCCAGCCAGCCAATCAGCCGGCCCCCTAGCCGGGGTTAAGAGCCGGCGGTAGTAGGAAAAGAACACGGATCCATGTCTGAGAACAACAAAACATAAAACAAAAAAATACACCAGCAGAGACCCCAAACAGTTGAAGACTGACGGGTAAGCAGAAACATACCAACAACTTGTGGCTTTCTGCGCTGCAACACGGATGAACCAATTGATGCAGTGGTGAACCTGGCACGTGTTGCGTTGTTGCACGTGTGTTATTGGCGTGCTTCTCGCTTCAGCACCGCGCCAGATTTGAGGTTGGGCTAGCACGTGCGAGCCCGCGAGCGCATGAACGCAAGTGCGGCTGCGCAAGCGCGCAGTCACATGGGCAGCTGAAACACACATGTCCAATTCAAACACAAATATGTGTACACTCGTGGAACACACATACGACTAAAAGAATACACGCACAAATATGCACCCATGAACACACATATACATTCACCTGCGGCACACGCATAAATGTGCTGAGCTGGAAAACAAACATGTGCTTCTTAGGGAACACATATGCATACCACTGGGTTACAAGTATGTGTCCAGGAACACCGCGTATGCGATCAATCAAAGCACACATATGTATACACGTGGAGCACACATATGCGCACACGGGAGTTGAACATAAAGTGTATGTAAGCTAACCAAACGGCACCACACAAGCATGCGATAACTCTTTTATCCAAGCAATGTGTTGGTGCCAGGGACTCATCTTCCCCTGTCAGATGTCAACGGCTGGGTGGGCCCCATGGGCCACCCACCACAAACTCTCAAAAACTGAAGAACGGGTGTGCAGACTGATAGCGCCCGCCCCTGAGCCGGGGCCCGGGGCACCCAGGCCACAGGGGGGTCTGCCACCAGGGGAAGTGAGTCACCCACCGGCTCCGGTCACGGGAGCATGGGTGGGCCCACGCTAAGATCAAATGCATCTCCATTCAGGAGACGCGGGAGAAAAACGAACTCCTCGCAGAGTTCCTGTTTGGGGACCCTGTGCAAAGGGTCGAACCCAGAGAAATCTGGGTGCGTCAGCTCATCAGCCCACTGGTTGAATTCCCGGGGCACGTGGTTGGCCGCCAGCGAGCAGCCATGGGTGTGGAGCAGGAAGACCAGCTCCATCAGGATAGCCGCGGTGTAGGGCTTCTTGGATCCAAGGTTGAGCATCGCCATGACGTTGCCCTGATTGTCACTGCCCACCGGGAGTCGGACCCGGGAGGACAGAGGGCCTTGGTGCGTGAGGATCATGTTACAGAGGAAGAGCGTGCCCAGCATTTCCAAAGCCGCAATCCTCCGCTTGGGATCCCCATTCTTGAATGCCCACGGGTACTCCTCCACGTGGATCTGCTCGTGGAACCAGTACACCTCCTTCTTTTCTGGCTCCATTTTGTTGGAGCACCATCCTCCCACAAATGCCAGTCCTTCGTCCGAGGCGCTAGCATCGCTGCAACCCCACCAAGAGGACTTCGGCAAGTAAGGGGAGTACTGGACGAAGGGCGTGTTGAAGAGGAACCGCAGCATGAACGCCAGCATCCTGACCACCTTGGGGGGTTTCCCCACCGTGGTGGTGGCCATCTTCCAGGCCCAAAGTGGCTGAAGCATCGACTTCGCCAACGGACATGCAGCAGTTGCCCATTGGATGCGGCCCAGGGCCTTCTCGATGTCCTTTGAGTGCATCGCCTGCCCTTCCACCATGATCTGCAAGACCTCCATCACCAGGATGTGTTTGTTGGCGGCCATGAGAACCTGCGGGATGTTCGGGTGGACCACGAAGCCCAGCCACGTGTTGACCTCCGCCAAATGTGTCTTCTTCCAGCTAAGCGGGGTACCCAAGGCCAGGAGTGTTGCCAACAGCAAAGTTTACTGCCCCCTCGCTGCGAAGCAGCCACATGAAGTCATCCACAAAGACGAAGTTCCAATCCACTTGAGGGAAAAGTGCGTAGAGGACCCTGAGTAGAAGGGCTGCCAGGCGTCCCCAGTAGGATTGGGCACTGGCCATGCCGTATGTGCCTACCTTGTTCACCCACCATTCTTCCCCCAGTGAAGCCACCTGGAACCGCCAGTCCTTCCTGAGGACCTTCACTCTCCGGTGGGCCTTGGTGACGTCCGCCTTGAGCAGCAGGTGCCCGGCTCCGGCCATAGCCAGCCCTCGGGTGGAGGTTTGACGACCTCCTTCTCGGGGCCAGGGGCACCCTGAGAGGGAGGTCCCTCCGCAGCTGCCGCATGTAGCCAATGAAGAGCTTGTACCCCATCCAGCGCCGTCGGAGCCGTCGTCCTTTCCACCGTCTGGTTCCTGATGGTGTCATTGGCCCCGCCCACCGAGCCATCGTAGATGGTGCGGATCTTGTCCCCTTCGTCGATGCCCGCTAGCGGGGCCTGGACAAAGGTCCTCAATCTTGCAGCCACAGCGCGCTGCTGCCTCCACCTTGGTGAGGGGGCCCTCTACCATGCCCATGGGGAGGAATGTGCCACGGATGAGCTCACTGAAGTGATCCGCTGAGGGGTAGTTACCCCGGCCGTGGGATGAGGGAGTTCTTGGAACTCCGGCTCCTCCCCTTTTAGCTCCTTCTTCAATGGCCAGATGCCCGGCGAGGCTAGGGGTGGGTCCGTGACCCCCAGTGGGACCCCTTGTTCCAGATCCCGAGGAAACTGGTGGTCGGGGTCCTGAATGTTCAGCGCCACGCTGTGCAAGATGTCCAGGAAGAAGGGTTGGCCTTCAGCTGGTCGGCCTGCCCCCGGCGCCAGGATCTCCCTGATATCCTCCAGCAGATCCTCCGGGAAGGGATGTGACCCGTCCCCCAACGAGAGCGACTCCTGGAGCTTGTCCCCCCATGGCGACGTGAGGACACAGATCTGTCCACGGGGCCAGCCGTCCAAGTGAGGGCTTCCCACCCCCGTCCCTAAGGGGGCGCTGTTTGAAGGCCATCTGGAGGTACATAACCTTGTCGGAGAGATTTGGGTCGTGCGTGATCGGCAGGGTGGTGGGCCGATCCGAGATCTCCATGCAATGGCGTGCCCATGGCTCAGGGGAAAGAGTTCCACCCCGAAGTTCGACCGCCCCGCGTGTCCGGACCTCCGGATTGTCTGAGGCCGAGACCGGAAGTGACCCAAGGTTAGTCCCGCCAACGCTTGCTGGCCGGCTTTCAGCCTCAGGGACTGGCGCTTGTTGTCCCCGTGCTGGGAGATGGTTCCCTCTGTCGCCTCGGGGGGGTCGTTGGGTTCGCTTGGGGCACCGTGCCCCCCGGCCTCAGCGCCTCCAGAACGGGTCCCGCTCTGCAAAGGATGGCCGCTGCGAGACCCTGCATCATCTGCTCTGGATACCGGCTGAGGTCACTGGAGTTGAGCTTTTCCCCCCTGGGGTGAGCTCCGTGGTTGCATCGCAGATCATGCCAATGGTGAAGGGGACTCCATTGGGTCCATTGGGTGCTCCAGGAAAGAGGAGCCCACCTGCGGGACCGTTAGTTGACCTAGTCCCTGGTAGGCCAGCGAGGTCAAGTACATCTGTCGCAGCATGAACACGCTGTCGTTGTCCGTGTCCTCCATTACCCGGGGCTCCAGGTCCTCTAAGCCCCACAGGGTCTGCTCCGCCCTGCCCCTCACCGGCGGCGGGCCTCCCGGTTTGGGGAACCATCTGAGAATGCTCCACGTCCTGCAGTTGGGGCCGCCCCCCACAAAGGCGACCTTGCCCGCCATGGCCATGGAGCACATCGTAGAGTAAGGCTCGTCTCCCAGCATGTCCTGTCCAAGATCTCCACCCTTTCGCCTGATGTCCACTGCCCAAATGTACTCCGAGAAGGCCGGGTTGTAGGCATGGAGGTAAGCATCCAGTGCCCCCGCATCATCCTTCCCAGCGTACAGCAGGATGAGGGACGGCTTTGACGGCACCGGACGTGGCGTCCACCTTAGTCTGAGCCTCAGTCTTTCCGGGGTGTCTTGCATCCAGGGGAAGGTGGGGCTTGCCCCCCCTGAAATTTCCGTGTGTCCTTTGTCTGACTCTCCGGTCATCTGGCCCTGGGCTTGCTGCTTGCCCTGACGGTTCTGCCCGCCCTTGGAACGCCCCTTGACGGGCGGATCCTCACCTCTGGGTCTCTCTGGGGGTTCTTCCCACTGCCTCGGCGGGTGCGGGGGAAAGGGCGCTTCCGCCCTTCTGGAGTGCCCTGGCTGGGTCCGCTCCTCTTCTTCGGTGGAGGGGCTTCCGGGGCCGGTGGCACCCTGGAGAAATCCCCTCCCACCTGCGGCCGTCCTGGCCTCCCCCGCTCTGTCTGCCTTCCGCTGTGGCTCTGGTCGGGTTGGCTCTCCCCCGCTGTGTGCACTCTCGGAGACCAGGCAGCCACGGGGCCTATGGCACCCTGAGTGGCCTCCTGTCACTTGGGAAGGTGTGGGCATGCCTGTGGCACATGCTTCGATGGGGGGGCTCACACACCCACCCATCCTTCCTGACCGGGCAGTTGTGGGATCGGCCGCATGATCCCGAACACTTGTTGTGAAGGTGATGATCTCTGCAGTACGCCACCCCTTTGGGATTCTTGAAAGCCCAGTGGTCTGGCCATGGGGTCGAGGAGGTACCTTTGCCGCCCTTACCCTTCGGCT